TTCACTTCTTTTAAAAAAATTTTCCACGCTTTCTAACGTCCTTTACAATACCTAAGAGTGTTTTAAACTTTGAAGAAATAAATGATGAACACTAAGGAGCTCTGGCTATTCATATGTTCTGCCAGAGATCTTATTAATTGCTTCTCTCATTCCACCAATATTCACTGAACACACAAGAGATCTGCACCAGAAGCAATGAAATGCAAACACCAACAAGGTAACGTGTGTGTATCCGGCCCTGGCTAGTGTGGCTCAGTGGACTGAGTGCCGGCCTGAGGGTCGAAACGTGGGGGGTTTGGTTCCCAGTCAGGGCACATGCCTGGGTTGCGGGCCAGGTCCCCAGCAGGGAGCGTGAGAGAGGGAAGCAATCAATGTTTCTTTAGCACATCGATGTTTCTCTCCCTCTGTCCCTCTCTTCCTCCCTCCCTTTCCCCTCTCTAAAATATAAATAAATGAAATCTTGAAGAAAAATGTGTATCTCATTTGCAGGAAGATAATCACTCTTGAATATGAAACTAGAAGTATCTGACATAAAATAAGCCCTAATATCTGCTAATTTTGATGTCATTCTTATAATCAATAGTAATAAGTCTGCAGTCAATGAACTGCATAATGAATCTGAAATGTATGATTACCTGTGAGAACATGAAGTACCAAAACCAACAATGAAAGGAACCTCAAAGGGATAACAACTAATTTATAACTTTATCAAATCACAGCCCTCATAACCAACCAGGAAAAGCTGGTTTCCTGGCTGTTAACACCACATTTCTTAAGGACTAGAAAATTCCTATGCCCTTTAAACGGTTCCACAAATTTAAAAAACAGTGAAAACCACACCCTCATTTGTTGTTTGATGCCATTGGCATAATACTGACAGCTGGCCTCCACCAACACAAAATAGACACAAAAAAACTACGGATCAGGAAACTTACACTTCATGCAAAAAATTCTCCACCAGCTAAGCTCACTGCTCTGATAATATCCCGAAACACACTCAGCAAAGAGTGCATTCCGGGGAGATGGCACTGGTTTGCTATCAGGAAATATATCGAAACGATGCACAGAGTGCGTGGGTCCAAAGAAAGGCACGTGCCGCCTGCAGACGTGGGGAGACCATCTGACGCAGCCTCTGTGCGCATCTCCACAACCAATCCAGAAACCAGAAAGGGGGGGGCTCTCTATTTCACTGCGCAAACTGTCCGGACCCAACCGCAGGGTGGCACACGACAGGGGGACTCGGGGACTCCTGCAGCACGAGGGAGGGGATGCCGTCGTCCCACCACTGCCCCACGCCATCCAGGGAGCGACGGCACATGCGCTTGAACAAGAGGTGCAAATACTGAGAGAAAAGATCATCTCCGAGAGAAAAGTATACAGGTTGCAACACAGGCAAAGTCTACATTTTGGGTGTTAAAGGCATATCGATACCATCGAACTGTACTCAACACGGTTATAGTACCAAACTTTACGTTACACGGGGTAAGGCAAAAGTACTTTTATAGTTGTGAGTGCGCAAAACCCAATTTATTCCTGTATTATTACTTATTACATTGTTTTCCATACAAACAACCATAAACCTACTTTTTCCATGCCCTGTATATATTTTCTCATACCCTGTATATTTTTTAAAGATTTTATTTTTAGAGAGGGGGGAAGGGAGGGAGGAAGAGAAGGAGAGAAACAGCAACTGCTTGCCTGCTGTGCGCATCCTGACTGGTGGTGGAAGCTGCAACCCAGGCAATGTGCCCTGACCCGGCATCGAACTGGTGGCCTTCGGGTGTGTGTAACAATGCCAAACCCACTAAGCCACACGGGTCAGGGCCCACGCCCCATATTTCCTATCACAATTTTTAAAAAGTATTATGTACACATATGAGTATAAAAAGATTGGTGCTGATCCCTAAGTTAAAGGGTAACTCTCTTAGCTTCTGTATTTTCCGAGTGGACCTACATTAATTGTTACCTACACTGTACTGAAAATTTGTGGCTAGCAGCTTCCAACGGAGAAAGAATGCAGCTTGAAAGGGTGGAAAAGGTGGGAACCTCCCATTTTGGAATGACCATGATACCAACAAAATGCGACCAGTTTTACACGCCATCCAGGAAAAATCTGCACCGGATCACAGCAAACCAAACCTAACACTGTAGGAAGACATCATGCAATGATGAAGTGCTGTTTTCCTTCCCCTCTAGGAATACAGGGGCATCTTAATAATCAAGAAATAATTAAACACAATTTGGGACAGGACTTCTAGCAAGGAGCAGCTCTGTAACTGCCTTCAGATGCTGAGAATGCATCCATAAAATTCAGTATCCATCCCTGAATTAAGTAAGATTTTTTTGAGCATGCTGAGGAAGCGTTATGAACCAACAGGAACCTGCAAACCCACAACTGAAATACTCAGGACAGTTTCACTATGGTCAGGGAGGAACCAGACAGCACAGCAGCTGTGACGATTATTACTGCTCGCGGTTTTACACGCAATAAAAAAGTAACAAAAAATAAGACGCGCAACTATTACACACGGGGAGAAAAAGTCATTATCATCTGGGTAAAGGAAAAATTATTAAAATCAGTTGGAACTAAGTTAATGCTAAGAAGGGACTTAGCAAGGCTACTAGTTATTGACTGATTAAAACAAATTGTTTCCCAGTGGCAAGGCTGATAATGAGGCACACTGAAAAGAAATTCACTAGTGAGTGAATGAATCTAAGCTACCATAACAGCATGACGAGGCTTAAGAATCATAAACTGTTGAGATTTTCCTTTCAATAAATGGAATCAAATCTGTTGGTAAAACCCCATTTGAGTAAGGGAACACACACACGCACACACTCCAACCACTCCGACTTCTGACCAACCCAGCGATGGACCCCGGCAGAAGAAAACCAGCCCAGAAAGAGGCGAGGCAGTATTTATTATTCCCCTCACGTTGTAAAAAGACGAGTATCCTATTTCCTCTTAAAATACGCCCCTGAAATTTTAAAGATTTAACCATATGGAAGAGATCCGAGAGCGTACAAGAAAAGGCTAAGGGTCTGGAATCCTAATTCAATCCCCCCTCCCGCTGTAACAGACGTCTGCAGCGAACACTCGCTCTCAGAGACACCGCAGTGGGGACCTGAACAAAAAGCTATTGTGTCTAAACATGTGAGGTCTCTCCCGTCCCATCCACACCAACTTTTCAAACATCGGGTTAGAATTAAATAATTTTGAACTTTAAATGAACTACTTCCAGACACAAAATATATTCCACACTTACCGGTCAGTATAAATCCCCCCAGTGAGTTACGGCTGAAATCTGCATTTTTCTCAAGTGCCAATAAAAGAACTTTCCTGTAGGCCCTGACATCACACTGACTTACTCAAGAATTCCATACAACGTTTTCCTTTCCTCCTCCAACAAAAATTCTCATCTGCATCTGAAAACTGACTCTGTCGTGGCTGATGGGAAGCATATGGGTACCAGTCACATCTCTCTGCTACCATCTTCCTACTAAACAGGAATTACAACTTTTCCTGTAAGTGAACAAGAGTAAAAAAAAAAAAAGAAAAAGAAATTTACTGGCCTGCCCTGCTCACTGTAAACATCACTATGTTTTAATTCGCAGTCTGTGTCTTATCATGGCTCTGCTGAAATACAAAAGAAAACAAGCCATTACCCATGATTGGTGATGTGGCCGTTTTAAAGCATCCCCAGATTCTTGGACACGTCTCCCATCAGAAGGTGGAGTTGGTCCCCACCCTTTGGATACAGGCCAGTTCCAGTGACTCACTTCTGTCTAACGAAGGGAACACGGCGGAAGTGAGGCTAACGGCTATGAAGGCGGGGTCATAAAAGCTGAGAAAGCCTCCTCCTTCCTCTTCCGACTGAGACGCTCACCTGCTCTTGGGCAGAACCCAAGACGCCTGGTAGCCCAGTGGAAAGGGCCAGCCCCACTCCCCACCGAAGTCCCAGCAGACAGCCAGCACCAACCGGCGGACAAGTGAGGGATGCCCGGCCGGGCATCAACTGCAGGCCCCTAAGAAAGAGCAGGCTGTCTCTGGGTTCAGCCACCAGGCGCTGGGGGTTCTGCCCGCAGCACACAATTGGAACGCGCAGGTTAGTTCAACCAATCAGCCACCCATCTTATGCTCTCATGTCACTCCCTCCCACACCCCACCAACTCCCCATAAGAAGACAAACCCGTCCTAAATTTTCACAAAACTGTGTGGACAAGCTGGTCTCAGCCTAGCAACCCCATGGCTGGAACCCCACATTCATTGCCCTTGGCTGCCAGCTCCCTTTTTTGTGGCTGTTTGCTTTCCATGTGTTAACAAACCAGAATCTTTGACCATCTCCTCTGTCCTGCCTTAAACTCACTCCAAGCTCTGAAAAGTTGCTATTATGAAACACCTGGCTTGCAAAACCCCTGCTGCTGCTACATGTACGCCAGCGTCCAAATCAATGAGCAGGTGAAACGTGCCGGCAGAGGCCGTTGGGACGGGAAGGCCAGTACCTAGTTCCACATGTTTCGACGGAGGCCTTCGAATAGGTCACCAACCCGACCAAGTGACCAAATTAGAAATTACCATTCCTTCTAAGGAACACTAGGAAGGGAACTATCGTAATCACTGAAATAAGACTGTTCTCCAAGAAACACAAGTCTTAACAGGTTCCAGTGACCTGGAGCCAGAAGCGTGAGGCATCCGGGCGGCCTTCTGCGTTCGCAGGAGCTCTTCTCACTGCTGCACAGAAACGCCACAGTGGAGGGCCCTCGCAGACAAGCTGGACAGTGCTCACTCTCTTTTAGCAGAACCACCGTAATGCGCAGCGAGTCACTGATGATGCAAACGCGCCAAGTGAAAGCCTAAGTGTCCCCAGAAAAGAAGAACCGAACGAAAAGCGAGGCCGCCCTCCCCTCCGCAGGCGGCACGAAGCCTGGACACGCCCCTGGACACGCCCCTGGACACGCCCCCTCAGAGCGGACTCCTGCGGCACACAGCGCCGCCCTACCTAGCACGTTCCCGGGCGGCACCTCCTCCAGCTCCTGCAGCTCTCGGCCCATCAGGAGGTACAGGTGCTCCAGCGTGCAGCGCGCCATGTGTGGGACGGGTGGGAGGCCGTCTGGCGGGGCTGAGAAGCCTAGCGGCACCTGGGGACAGAAGAATGATGGAGGCTAAACGCCAAAACTAGTTCGCGTCCATAAAGTTATTTTCATCTGTAAGTAAGAGGTGGTGCGGTCGCATTTTGTGTAAATCTGAACCACACAAACCTGAAATGGTGTTCCGTGAAAAATCAGTCTCACTTTATGATTAAAATCTAATAGTGAAAACTCTCATGTATTTAAAACTAGTCAAGAATCCCACATAGTCATAGCTTTATGGCTCAGTTAATATAAACTCTGTTGCAACCTGACAGCCCCACGGAAGCTAACGAACAAAATCCCACACACACCACCCTCACTAGTGTTTACGTGGACACTGGCACGGACCAGCTCTGGTGGTGACGGTGCCATTACTGCATTGGCTACGATCACTCTTATCCCTTTAAATGGCTTTAATTTTACTGCGACGTCCTCCACACATTCAGCAGCAGCTGACGCCAGCGCTCGGAAATGCAGGAAAAGGGGTTGCTTTCTAAGGTGTGAATACGTCACCAGGAAAACAGACTCAGGAGCTACCTCAGCACCACATCTATTCTCGCGGAAACACCGTCTCGAATTACTCAGGATTCGGCGAGAACCATTTAATGTCCTGAAGACTATTCAGGTCACTGTCTTCGATTAGCCAGCGGCCCCCGTGGGACTGCCAGCCCTAGGGAAGCGCTTCGGTCACCAACCCCTCCGCGGCGCCCACAGGACCGAGGTGCCATGCAAGTGTTATTAACGGGAAAAAGTGTCGAATGTAACCTGTATGGGGAAACTAACGCCACAAAGGTACAGCGAGTGACAGAGCTGGGGGGGGGGGGGCGAGAGGCGCTGCTCTGGTGGGTGACACCCGGGAACATCACGAACATGATGGCCTCTCGGGCACATGCCCTGATCTGTGACAACTCTGCAGGGAAGCTCTGAAGGCAGCTGGGGAAGGAGTCAGAAACAGAAGCGTTGAGCGGGAAGAAACAGAGTGACGTACAGACGCTGTGGACAGTCATTGAAACCATAAATTACAACTAGTAAGACAGTCTAGCAAGGTCGCTAAACACAATACCCAAATACAAAAATTAACTGTGTATCTATAAATCAGCAGAACACATGCGTTTTTAAAAACATTCACTTTTAGAATAGCAACCAAATACTAACTAGTTAGGAACGAGTCTAACAGACAGGATCGACCATCCTCAGGGAGAAAACAGTAAAATGCCAGTGGGAACGTCTAAAAGGACCTCAGGGCACAGACACAGCCGCCCCGGTGTGAGCAACGACACTGCACGAACACAGGCAACAACCCGAGTCCCCGTGGGGCTGCCCCGGGGGCCTGGCCACGCAGTGCTGTCTCCCTGCTCCCGGTGGGTCCTGACAGCGCCCTGGGCCTCTGACACCGCCACCCTGCTGTGACTGCTGCCACATGACCCTGCTGTGCCCACAGCGTGCGTCTGTCCAGAGACGTCCCGTCGCAGCTCCAGCCAGTGGCCGCCTTCCTGCCCTTTGGCTCTGGGGGACTTGGATGCTGTTCACCTGCTCACACACCCTCCTGATCAATTCCTGGGACCTGCCTGCCGTGCGGTGGCTGCCTATCACCTGCGGACTGCCCACACCGTGGAGCCATGCCACCAAGGTTTTGGATCTCCCTACTTCTGAAGATCTCCATTGTCCTGGCCCTAGCATGACATCTGTTCTTATTGTTTGTTCTTCTCACCCTGAAGAGAAAAGCCTTATAATTATTAAGGCCTGAAAACGTGGTTCATATACTCGTGTAGTTTCCTAAATGCTACTAAGGGCGACAGGTTTGCCGAGCGTCACCTGGCAAACAAAAGGAGACACAGGAATTCACCTGCATGTGCCTTTTGTAGGACGAAATACATCTACCAATGAGGTAATCACCAATCGCACTGATGTGAAAGAAACCCAGACCCTGAAACAACATCGTCACGCTTTACTTCCGGTTCTTACCCGCTGCAAAAACTCAGCAGGACTGTACTTGGGCCCCAGGACAAAAATGCTCTTTCCTCTTCGCGCCACACCACTGAACACCCGCGCGAAGGCAACGAACGTCTCTTGGCTGTTCTCTTCCTGCGGCCCAGGGTTGGCGGTCACACTCTCCACCTGCTGCTCCTCACCTGCCAGAAACAGAAGGGCAGTGAGTGCCCGGAGTGCGCTCTCCAGGCTGGGAACGGCCTGGGAGCAGAAGGGAGGTGACCGCAATAACACACATCCGCCAGGTTCCAGGGAGGGGACGCCAGGAACGAAGGAGCACTGATAAAGCTACAACCAGGGCTGGAAGCTCGAGCTTAAGGAGGTGGGCCCCGAACTAAGCACAACAAACCCCGCAGCAAAGCCGCGCGGCACCGCGGTACCTTTCGGCTCCTCGCCCTCTGGACCTGGGTCCGGGGGGGACCCCGCGGGCGCCTGGCCCTGGGCTGCCGCGAGCTTCTCCGCGTGCCTCTGTCTTGCGCGCTCACGCCGCTCCGCGATCTCTTCATGAGTGAGAGGCCTACGGGACATCACAGATGGGTCAGCACCTGGCGACTTCGGGCGCCTCTCCTGGCTTAGGCAGGAAAACAGCGGGAGCTACCAGGCTAGGTATGATGACAAGTGGTCCCAGGTCCCTCCCCAGCTGGACGGCGAGTGGGAAGGTCTAGCGGGCTTTCTCCGAGGATGCTGCGTCCCCAGCTACTCCGAGCTTCTGGGCTGACAGGCTGAGGCCCCACACAGCAGCGGGGACCGTGCTCAGACACCCGACTCCCACCAAACAGGCCGCTTCCACAGCCCATGCCCCAGCCTTACCTTGGCCTGTTCTGGGGCAAAGCCTTCGAGTCCACTGCAAACATTTTGGAAACAAAGATGATGACAGGAGCCGCATCCTCACTCCCACATTTCATAAAAGCTGAACAAACACAAAGTAAACACGTCACCTTTTCTTTCCTTTATTAAAAATCCAAAGTTTTCTGGAAAACAACTAAGATGTTTTGACTATGCCATCACCATCTAAACAACTATACCAAGAAAACTACAAAACTGCTAGAAAAGTAGAGCAAGAATAAGTTGACTGGCAAAAACGAGGAAAGGGCAGCAAAATTAACAGGGCAGGAGGAGGGCCAGGGGACCGCCTGCACCAGGCCGAGACTGGGCAGTGGGCCGCCCACCGCGAGCCCCACTAAGCGCCTCCCCGTCCCCAGTGCAGAGGGCGCAGGTGAGGGCCCTCCGTCACCGAAGGGCGAGCGTGGATGGGGAAGCTTGTTGATGAAACACATGAAAATCAAAGGCTTTCCCAAGCCCCACCATAACAAGGTAGAAAATAGACAAATATGTTACCGTGATGGTAATGAAAAAGCTGAGGAATAAATTAACATCAGTATAAAGATGTCAATTTTCCCTCAATCTATACATTTTATACAGCTTCGGAGCACGTACTGACATTTTTCTTAGCCTACACTGGAGGTATACAATTGGTTAATAATGCTTTTTAAAAAGTCACCCACACCCCAACATTTTATTCATAAGCTGAAGAACCCACCGGTAGAACTCAAACAAGACAAGAACGCCGGACGTCCGAGTTACACGCACGGCAGCCCCGCCCGGGGGAGCTGCGGCGGGTTCTGGGGAACAGTGCCCGCTGCCCTGACGGTTTCCCGGAGGCGGCGCTGCCAGCTGACGGGCACTCACTGCGGGGAAGGGGGCTCAGAGCCGGGCCTCCCGCTGGGAGGCCACCACAGTAACCAGGTGAGTGGTTGCGCCAGGCCCACGGGGCAGAGTGGACACACTGGGAAGCAGCGGAGCCCTGGACAGATTTCCAGGGAAAAATGAACAGGACCTGCAGGTGGGCGGAACGCGGGGCGGGAAGCAACGCGACCGCAGGGGGAGACAGTGAGAGGGCGGCGGTCCCTCTAGCGGGAGGAGCAGGCACGGCGGTGAGACAGGAAGGCCCGGCTGGGGCTCTGGGTCTGCAACACTGCTCTGCCAGGGGCCAGAGGAGGTGCGCAGGGGACAGAGTGTGCAGCTGGGGACAGGCACACGGACGTGGGAACTACGAGGAGACTGTCGCCTGGCAGAGCCAGGAGAGGGAACGCGGGTGCAAAACAGATGGGGTCCAAAGACTACCCTTGCTTGGGGGCACCCCACGGCTCCCAAGTCACAAAAATGGAGAATAAGGAGAAACAGAGATTAAGGAGTCAGGGAGACAGGGGAAAAGCAGAAGCACATGGAAGCCTGGAACTCAGGGGAAGAAAGTGTTGGACAGGAGTGACCGTATCCAGTGCCAGTGAGACCCACTCAGATGACTTAACAAAGTGGGGGGGGGATAGCAGCGGAGGGTTTGGGGGATGGAGGTTGCCAAGGCAACAGAATGAGGGGGAAAGAGTGGAGGCAGTGCATGCAGATGAAGTTCATGGGCCCTCCCTGAGCTTGGAACGGGGGTGCTCCTCTCATGGGGAGCCCATCTTCCGGGCCACTGAGGAGAGCCCAGCCCCTGGAAGCACTTTTCCAAGTCCCCAGCGAGATGCAGCCACTCAGGGACCCGGGCCCGGCTCTTCAGGTAAAGGGGATGTGGCCTCCTTACGAGACTGCGACATGAGGTCAGTGCGGAAGGGGTCTCAGACTCTGGTCTCTGCCCTCGGCAGAGAAAAGCGGCTTCAGCAACACCGAAGCTTCGTGGAGAAAATGCAACCGTACACTTGTGGAAGGGGCCCTTCGGCAAACCGGTCAGGAGCAGCCTCGACCTGGGGCGGTCGGAGCGAGGGCGCACGCCGCCTTCGCCGTTGCCTCACCGCCTCACCTGCTTTCAGCGCCTGGGTTTCCGGGGGCAGAGAGTCGAACGTTTGCGGCCCCGTGCACATCAGCTTCTCCACTCTCTCGGAGGTCATGTCCAGGGGACTGGGAAGCTTCTGGCACACCATAGCTGAAGTCTGTCGTCAAGGGCTCAAACACTCGAGGGAGGGCACTCCGCCGAGGCACAGACTCACGACACCACGGAACACGGAGGCACAGTGCACGTGAAGATGCCCGGGCCGCAGGGCCACGTTACTGCACCCACCGCCTCTCAGAACACGGGCACCACTGCAGGGAGCTCACGGACTCTCCAAAGCCCACACAGGATTCTCGTGACAGATGCTCATACATCCATGACCCAGGGACCAAGTGAGGACAGCAGAGCTTGCCTGGTAGCTTAGCTACCCGTGACCTTGACATCCTCAAGTTTCTCACAGGGTTCCAGACTATATAAACTTCTATAAACCACCATCGCCACCTGCTGTGACACCAGAAAGTCTGCTGTCAGGGCCGCTGTCACTGTGGGGGGAGACGTCCACCAGAGCTCTGGGCTGAGAGACACGCCGGTCCGCTCTCAGGACACCGCACACCCCATCACCACACGGGTGTGAGTGGGACACACGGATTGACGGAAAGAGGAGAGTTTAAATTCGTCTAGAAAATGACTTCAGTTAACACAAGCCATTTCAAAGTTAGTCTTTTGGAATCCCCATCACGATGGGAAATAGCAACACACTAAGTACGTGGTACTGAGTAAAACAGTGATCTAATACCAACATCTAACTTGCCCACCTGTCTGTAAAACTTAGTAAACACAAAGTTTATATTTTTACATATTATTAAACAAATGTTAAAGTACCTTCATAGAAGTACATTCCTTCAAACTGGCATTGCCATAAATACTGATCAGTGTTAAGTATTAAATGCAGTTTCAAAGAACAGAGAAAACCACAGAGGCCTTATTTCGGACTGGAACGCATTATTTCCAGAGGATTCCTTGGCTGCCAGTAACTTCCTCCCCTGTTATGATTTCAGGAAAACCCGCCAAAACAAAGGATACCGAGGACAGCGTGGGACACGGGCAGCCACTGGCTGCAGACGGCGTTGATCTGGACTCTGGGGTCCGAGTGCCTCGCCTCCCGGGCCCCGATTTTTAGTCCCAGGGAAGTCACTATCTTATCCACTTTTTCTTTGTCCCTGTAGTAACAAACAGCATGAAGGGATACAAAGGAGCAATGAGGCAATGAACTCAACGTCATCAGGCACGTTTATTGCTGATGCGTCACCTCTGCTACAGAAAACCGACGGTGAGGGGTGGGGCCCAGCGGCAGCGCAGGGTGGTCTCTGCTCCCGCCCTTTCGAGGGAACCTGTCCTTGCAACAGCTCTTGAGACCCCGTTCCAGTCTCCCTGAACGAGCCGGGTCACCCAGCAAGGCAGTTTCCCCAGGACACGCTCAGAAAGGTGTCACTGTGACTCTGGAACAACCAAGAACCTGAACTTGCTGCCCTTCTCCACGTGCACCCAGCGAGTGCTGGCCCAGGTCGTCCCTTCTCGACCCGAGACATCAGGCAGCTTTGCCGCCGCCACCACCATCTGATTTTAACCTGGGCTTGCAGAAACAAGGGTCCCGTGTTTCTCTCCGTCCTGTTCTCTCCCCAGCTCAGCACGCTCTAAGATATTCCCATCTGCCCCTGCCACTATCCTGACCCCTGCACATCCGTCATCTCTAAGGAACCGACGCATCTGAAGGGCCCCTCCACCTCCTCCGTCTCTCTGGGCTTTCCCAAGGGTGGCTGCTCGGGCTGGGAGCTGAGGCAGTGACGCGGCCCCAACACAAACAGTCTCACCTTTTCAAGATGGCCTCATACAGGCTCCATATATTTTCCAGGATTAACTGCACAAATAACGGTTTCTTTCCTTTTGCCTGTAAAGAAGAATATACACACTTAGGTTTTCGAGTATTTAATAGGTCTCTTAAACGTTCATTCTGGACATGTTTCGTTATCAGCCACTCTCATTTCTACTGGGAAATATTTATTCAACAGTAAAGTGCAGGGAAGTAGTTATAACAATACGCTGTTCGCTTCCTCTGGGAACTACGGACTCACAAACGATGGGACTGTGCAGGGGACACGCCGCTACTGTCCTCAGAAACCCTGATCCCCAAGCTGAGAGCAAAAACTGGACCCTGCAGGTAAAGGCCTTTCCCTGGACCTCGTGCTCAAGGATGTTCTTGGACGTGAAAAGCAATCAACTTCAAGGGAGAGAAAATCAGAAACAAAACCCCCACCAACACTCTCACGGGCAGTGCAACACAACACACAACAGCAGGAGCGCCTTGTGATGGGGCCCCTGCCAAGCTGGTCCATCTGAGGGACTGAACCGCCACCTCCTCCTTGAGGAGCTAGCAGCCCGGCACCAGGACAGGAAGTGACTACCCCTGAGCACCGGTTTACAAAAAGACGTCAGGAAGACAAACACTGAAGAGACACCCTCCACAGCTTCACACGCAGCATCGGGACGTCTGGAGCCCGTTAACGGACACTACGGCCCTGTGCAGCCTTGGGAGGGCGACTCCGTGTACGCGGGCGCATGCACAGCACACGGCACTCAGCAACGCTGGGGTGCCGGAGTGCCGGGGCGGCGCTCTGCTTGGGGCTTTCCCCGGAGGGCATCACGCAACCATCAAAACCACCCGAAAAGGGAAGTCCCGCTCCCCCACCTTCACAGATGAGAGACCAAGACGCTGGGGACAGAGCTGGCAAGTGTGGGAGCTGAGCCCAGACACAAGGCCAGGCTCTCCGACCACACGCTTCCCTGCTCGACTGCCGGGCTCCCTTCTGCACACACTGTTTGTTAGAGGCTTTCGATGGCCAGGAAAGACGCTCACAATGCTTTTTTCCAGGCACGTCCAGCAAAAAAGCAGCTACGTTATATAAACAGTACGATCTGGACGGGGAGGTGTACACATCCACCCAAGGAGAGCACAGCAAGTTAAAACCACAGCATGAGCAGCGCTGGCTCCTGTCTTCCCTCCCGTGCCTTCAGGGGCGCTGTGTGGAGGAGTCTACACGCTCCTCAAAGAGAATGCGTTTGTAAGACCCTGCATTTCACATTCGGAAAAGAGCTTCCAGCAAAGGATCCTCTGAGGCCTCGGGGCCCAGCAGCTGCCCGTCTGGGAAGGCGTGTGGAAGCGGTGAAAGGGACACACACACGCAGGATGCAAACTACCTGTCTTCAAGTGACCAGGATCTGAGGTCTGTCTCCTCTTAAAAAAATAAAATTCTTTGCCCCTTGTGTGTACAGGAGTCTATTTAAGGAACACTCAGATACAAGGTTCACGAACTTTAACCAAATAGAGACAGTGAAAAAATCCTACACCTCCTGACTCACACAAACCACAGCCAAAGCACGCCTTTATGAGAGGGGTTACCTAACGCGGACTGCCACCAACACTTCGAGGGACACATGCGACATTACCTGATCGACCTTCATAATCTTCTTAGCCTTCATGTTTATGTAATAATCTCCCCACAATGTTTTCAAAAGGACTTCCTTTTTTATGCCAATTTTTTGACTGTAGATCTTGGCAAAGTGCTCTATTCTGGAAGGAAAGCAAGGGCTTCTGTTACCAGTGAGGACGACAGGGGAGAGGGCAGTAACACTGCAGGGCTTCTGTGTGCACGCTATTCAACATGCTGCAAACACGCTAGTTACCAAGCACGACCGTCTCACCTCCCGGGAGGCAGGGACTAGTCATCTCCCGCTCTGGGCAGAAAAGGCCCGGAAGCACACAGACATTACACAGGCCACAGGTGAGGCTGGGACCCAGAGCCCGTGCTCCCGCCCACGTCCCTCTCCATTCCTGCACATCCGAAGTCACCAGATGTCTCCCTTTCCTGATGCTGTGCGTGGACGCGGGGCCAAAGGACAGGGGCCAAGGAAACACAGGCTCCAGCCGCCCATCGCAGTGGTGCCAACAAACAACTCTTGCAGCCCTTCACTGCTATAGGTGTCTGCTGCCCACGAAGAAAACGACATCACAGCCAGAGCTGCCAAAGGGCTCATCGGCATCTGGACTAAGAAGGAAGTGGGCACACACACCGACTCAGCCTCCTCAGCCCCGGGACAGACCAGGTCGCACCAGCTTCACCCTCAGGCACGTGACAGCAGCCACCCGGCCAATCTGGGAGCTGTGTGCGGTGTCTGCCGTGTCTGGATAAAGGCCCTGGGAAAACACCTCTTTTGTGCAGGGAACGGTGCGTTCAACCTGAGGTTCGAGTCCAACCCTGCAAGGACCAGCACCATGAAAGGCGCCTGCTGTCACCCACTGCAGAAGGGACCTGAAGCTGACGCCTCTGCTGCTGAGCTCGCCTGTCAGCGGGGGTTCACTGGTCAGCTGCGCCTCTGCCAATGAGCTGACACTCCAACCACGCTGGTCGGACCGGGACTATGAGGAGCCCTGGGCAGAGGCCCAGCAGCACAGCTCGCACTACAGGAACCAGCCGCAGGTCCACATCCCTGTCTCTCCGAAGGCCGAGGCAGAAAGACAGCCCACCGAGAACCCAATTCAAACTACACAGTGACAGGCCAATCCAGTGTTTCCGGGGCCAGCTCCAGGTCAGACACTCCGGAGTGTCCCCTCCTCTCCACGCTGGTCACTCCGGTACACGTGCTTCCCACATGACCCGACAGTCACTTGTTTGGCAGACTTCCAATTTTCCGAAAATTTTACTCTCTAAGTCATTTCTTCCAAGTTTACTATATACTAAGTGATATAATTTGTTATTTACTTGTATATAACAATTTATATAACTATAAATTCTGTTACTTATGATTACTACACTATTAGCCTGTCATTTTCTGTCTTTCTGAAGGAGGGCACCCTTCCCCACGGACCTGCGGCTCTTCTGCAGAAAGGGGAGGGCCAGAGGGAGCCATCCTGGTCCCCCCCCAACCACTCCTCCCCAGGGGTGGACAGGAGGTCCGTGGGGACGCTCACTGGGCACAGCTCCCACGCCCCCCTGCCTTGCTGCCTCTTCCAGGGCCCGTGAGAGGACAAGTCCGGACTGTGGCAGCTGTGGCGTGTGCACCACTGTCCCCAACAGAGTCCGGTCCAAAACACCCGCTGGGCGGGCAGCCCACGGAGACGCGCACGGACCCACCCGAAGCCCCAGCCGTCAATGGCGCTGGCGAAGACCACGTTGCCCTGCTCGGGCGCGAAGTACAGGTGCGAGTCGTCCGTGTCCTCCAGGCCCGCGCTCCAGTCGTACACCTGCTCCCCGGGGCTGGCCTGGGGGCTCCCCTGGGGCTCGCTGTCTCTCTCTGCTCTTTCTTCCAGGACTTTAGAGGTGAAGAGAGTCCCCGTGAGCGCATTGATCTAGGAGAGAGGGTGAGACCGCGGATGTCACTGGTGCTCAGTGCGCCGGCGGCAGGAGACCCTGTGACGAGCACCTGCTGAGCCCGGAATCGCCCACCGCTCGGCCTGGGCTCGGATTAGGCTGACGTCGACAACGAGAAACACCCTGTATGCCGTGAGCCCGTTCTTTCTGAACCCAGCAGAACCGAAAGGCAAGGCTCTGGAAGGTCATTTTGGGGATCGCTGTTTTAACGCAAACACTAACCTGTGGCACCTTTAACTTGTTTTCCAGACTGAGGCCCAGGGCCACCAAAACCTATGCTTTTCAATCCCCACAATCCCAGTGTGCAGCCTGGTCGGCTCCCTGGCCGCTTCTCACATTGGCTCCTTGAACTTCCCACCACTCTCCTCGGGCCCCTTCCCAGCCCCGACTCCCAGCCACTGTCCCAGCTTCCTGCCTCGGAGAGGAAATGGGACCTGCTCTGCAGAAACCCTGCCAGTCCCCCAGCCCTGCTCCCCCCGCTGCAGGCAGGAGCGTCTCGCCTGCCCCTGCCCCTGTCCATCCCTTCGGGGACTCATCTGGTCACTGGTCTACCTTCACTTTCCCTCCCTTCGGCAAACGGTCTCCAGTCGGCCTCCACAACGGCCTTCCATCACCGTCGAGATTAGCCCTCTCTTCCCACGGTGTGCGAGGCTCACGTGGTCTTAGCCCCACACCCCTCCCAGTCCCGTGGCCGGGGCTGCGCAGCACGGCCTCCTTCCTCAGCTGGAGCACACGGCCTGCGGCCTCTGGACGACACACGGCACGATGCCTCCCCGTGCCTGCCTGGCTGCACGTCTCGCACCTTCTGTCTCAGAGGTGTCTGCCACAGTTCTCTCCCTGGCAGGCACCATCCTTCTTTAATCTCAAGGCTTCTGGTGTGAAACTCCTCCAAACCCCCTTCCCTCTGGACCAGAGCTGGGTGAGGTGGCCCTCCCCGGCGCTCCCCCGCCACGCCAGGGCTCCTCTCATCTCCAAATGCCTCCTCACTGCGTCTGCCCTCCACACCTCGACCCCTTCCGAAATAGGGACTCTGACCTCTCTGCCACAGCACACACGATCTCCAGCCCCCAGTGGGCACCCAGGAATTCATTTATTCAACATATAGATACGTAAATGTTTGCTGAATAAAGCGAATGAATGCTTCGGTAAAGTTTCCTCTCAAGACAGGTCATAAAAATCCAAAGAGCTTCCTAATACTGCTTCCCTTTAGAACCGAACTACATGCTTTGAAACAAGACAGGATTAAACTCATCGACCAAGATTTGTGCTCAAGGATGTTTCGGAAGGAGGGGACTCCCGAGAGGGTGCTTGTCCTGTGGCCTCTGCCGCGGTATGACAATTCTAACGCACACAATTCTTAAGTGGACAAGTTCTAAATAAGGGAACTTCTGTCGCAATCCCTCACACTCAACCTTGCAACTTCCTTACGACTCTTCTTGGAACCCTGATTTTTGAAGTACTAAAGAATAAAATACCTGTTCTAAAATGTTCTTGAGGTGAGAGTAGGCCTCCTGTGGGGTGAATTTCAGTTCCACTATCAAGCGATCTATCTTGTTAATCACTAGGACCGGACGGATGTTCTCGAGCCAAGCTTGTCGCAGAACTGCCTGTGTCTGATTAAAACAGAAAGGAAAACATAAAACTCATGACTGGGAATGATGACGGCACAGTTAAAAGCCCTGACTCATAATCGGCCCCTCCCCACGCCCCTTCACTGCAACCCAGGCGGCGCCCGTCAGACAAAGGCGCTACTGGACGCCCGCGGGTGCGGGACAGGTAGGCAAAGAACTGGAGACAGGAAGTTGTCCTTGCCTTCGTGGAACTCATCTGAGAAGGACACATCAAACTGCGCAAGGGACAGGGACGAGCCTGGTGGGATTTTACACGTACATGGAGGTCACTGAATGGATATGAACCAAACGCCGATGTTGGCGACACACAGGTGCAAAAACGGAGCATCTCCCAGAATCACGGAGGACACCTCCCTGAGCACGTCCCACTCCGCCCGTGGACCACCACTCTGCTGCTCCACGGTCGGCGCGTCCGCCGCACCGACCTTGCCCGGACACCTAAGACCCCGTGTGGACTGAGGCTGCACTTCCGCAGTCGGGGTACCTCTGCCCCAGGGGAGGGCAGAGGGGACGAGACAGCATAATCACAGTGTGTCTGCTCAGAATGATCAACTTTCCTCCATCTGAGTTACTTAAACCTTTTATCATTCTTTCTTTAAAATATTATAACTAGACGCTAAAAAAAGATATATTAAGAAACAGAACATAAGATGACAACACTTTTAAGATACAACACAGGTTGGAAGAAAAAATTATTGGAAGAACTGGATTTTATAGAGCCCCTCTGAACTCCACGCCCACCGGAGCTAAATGTCCGCCCTGGCCCTGGGGGTGACCTTCTCCAGCTCTGACGGACCGGATGAGAAACCTAGATTAAGGCGACGGGGTCGGGGGGAGGGAAGAATGTGCGTAGGTGGGCAGAGGCCTATAGCCCGAGACCCCAGCCGAGGATTTCTCTCATCCAGGGGAGAAGGAGCTCAGGACTTTGCTCTCAGTCACCTCTCCCGGTTCAGAAACCTTTTCCGTGGAGGAGAACCACCCTTCGTTCCGAAATTCCACATTCCCACTTTTGCTGGGCCCCGCTACAAGAGAACACCAACATACTTCACATTTGTAAAGTTAAAGTCATCCTCTCTAACATCCCTTCAAACCTCGGGAGATTTAACTCCATCACAGACTGGGACACTATCGGATGTACAGGGTAAAACCAGCTTTCTGGTGGTCGGTGAAATGTCCATGGGCACAGAGTAATCGGCCGCCAGTTCCTCCCCCTCCCCCATCTGCCTGAACCACTGAAACAGTTTCACGCCACAACCCACAGACCCACTACCTGTGGACAAACTCCCTCCACGGCATCGACCACAATGATGCACCCGTCGCAAATGCGCACAGCCGTCGACACCTCGGAGGAGAAATCCACGTGTCCTGGAGAGTCTATCAGATTGATCAGGTACTCCTCGTTCCCTGAAAAGGAGTTTGAGGAAAGACTAGGTCAGCTGAGCAGGCGTGCACCGCCCTTCCTCGGGCTCGGCGGAGTCAGAGTTTGTGAGAAATGACTGCAAGGCAGCAAAGGCCAAGGCTCAATCCGCTGTGGTCATTCCAGCTGAGGGCCCCGTGATGGGGCTGCTGATTCCCAACAGCACCCACATAACACTCCAAGACCTGACCCCTCTGTCCGTTACTGCTGACTGAGAGCCCCCTGTGAGCCAGGCCCCGTGCTCAGGAAGCACTGTTGATGTGCTAGTCACACCTCACGGAGTCCCCACAATACCCGTTAGATAAGCGTGTACTCCTGTCCTCAGTTCACACGCCAGGAAGGTGAGACTACGAGGAGCCAGTGCCCGAGAGGCGAGGCTGCTCCAAGAGGCCGCGGCAGGAAAGGCCACCCTGAAAAGACACGGAGCAGCTGGCCAGCGACTTCCCCACAAATTCTCAAGGAGCACGTGTGAACCTGCTCAATCACGACTCCGAGTCAGTTCCACAAAAATTTACAGAGTAGTTTCTGGGTGCCAGCCGTGTGCTGAGTGTCTCCCATAACGCTCGCAATGGAAAACAGGGTTACGCTTCGAGCAGGGAGACCACTCGTGCTGACCAGTCCTGCGGCGGTGCAGACAGGCCCACGTCACCCCGACCCCACGTCAGACCCAGGCAACCCAGCCCCGGCCCCCAGGTCGTAGAGACTCCACATGGAGACATCAGGACACTGGACACAGAAACAGTAATGCATTAGAACCCCATTCGCGTTCCCCATTTACTGCTCCTCTGCCACTGGCTCCCCTCAAAGGCACAATCGGTATCGGAGCGCTCCAACGCCCACATGCACTTTACTTGCGCCCCTCCCCTCCCTCAGCTTCTTGGCTCCAGTGGGCTCCCGAACAGCCATGGGGCTGCCGTCGCACCTCACAGGCCACGGAAAGGCCACTGATGTAGCTATACCACCTAATGACTTGACTAGTCCCTAAAGGACACTGGTAATGATAAAATGACAACCGTGACCAAGGCCGGAGCTCACAGGTGTGGGTGGGCATCACTCTCGCCATCTTACAGGCGTTATCTGGTGTCTGCTTGCAACAGCCCTTGGGGTCCTAATGACCAGCGGCCCAGTTTTACAGAGCGGAGTGCGAGGGGACAGCAAATTAGATGTCCTTCTCCAGGGCATCCAGCCAGAACCCGACTTGGAGGTGAACTGCTCAACATCAAACAATGGGAAATGGTAGAAAGGAGGCTCACACCCATCTACTCCAAACACACACCGTTAACCACTCTACTCCAGACGGCATGCATTTCATCGCCGAAGCCAAGGTGCCATGGACAGTGGGTTCCTGAACGGCAGGTTAAGGGCTCCCAGGTGCACTGGGGCCTCGCGAATAACTTGTTGTCATGGGATCGTCACAGTTATCCAGCCCACATTAATTCCTTCATTCGCAGAAAGGCTGCCATTCCCACAACTCTGGCCAAACCAAACTCCTAAAACCTGCCAACCACCTCTGGACAGACACAGTAACCCTTCTCAATTCCTAGAGGAGTTACCGTCAAAACGGCATCCTTACTGGGGGAGAGCGAGCTGTAACAATCACGGCAACCCAAAGTCACTTTAACAAGACTATAGACCTGATGCATGGGCCACAGAACTAGGATCCCGCCAGGAGATGGGGCACTAAGGCTGAGCCAGCAGGGTCCCAGGAGCCCTGACCTTCCTTCTGAAAAAATCCACACAGTTGCCTGGGCAGAAAGGGCAGCAGGGGTGGGAGGCAGGTGTGAACAGCCAGTCTTTCTGCCTAAAAGCCACCCAGAGGTCCCCAGTCACATCCAAGTTCGGACAGCCTGCCTCTCTCTGACAACAAATAATTTGGAGGGGCCAGAATGCAATTTGAGGAACATAAAGCAAAGAAACGGAGGCATGCCATTCACACAGGAAAAGAAAGGAAGACACGGAAGATTCAGAATGACTTTTCTTTGAAAGCTGGCCTGACTTACCTTGTGTGTAATGCAGAGAAATGGCGCTGGATTTCATGGTGATGCCCCGGACCTGCTCGTCCTCTCTGCTGTCCAGGTACCGCAGCTGTGAGAACGCAGCAGACACACCCTCACTGCCCAGTGAACTACAGGGCGGTGCTAAAACGCAATGGCTTGGACTTTTAAATGCTCACCTTTTAAACTATTCAAATGCCCTTTGTGTTGTAGGGGGAGAGGGGCTGGAGAACGAACGTTGTCATGGGGAAGACGCAGACAAATTCAAATACATCACCACCTTCCGAATGTGTTCAAACCCCACACGCCCTCCCCAAAAGTTGCTCCTTCAAATTTTGGCTGTGAGTGACGGGGCACTTGGCGAACAAGTCACAGAAGGTCATATTAGGGGATTTTCCTCCTTTCATCAAGAACACATCCATTCTTTCCCTCCTCACAGGCCCTTCAACAAAGGCTGAACGGAGATTCCAACCATTCTCTAGAGAAGTCTCTGCTCCTTTCCTCAAATGAGATTTTAAACACGTGTTGTAAAGAACGACAGGGGAGAGGATACTTCTAACACCGCCATGGGGCCGACGGCTTTCCTACAGCGCCAGTGCCCTCAGGTAAGGGCTTTGCAGAGCACCAGTGCAGAGGGGCCGCTCCTAACCAGAGAACCTTCTGGCTGCAGCCCCTCAGCCCCACACACCGCACTGACTGGCGTCCAGCCTGGGCAGAGCGGGCGGCTCCCCACCCCGCCCCACTTCTCCATCAAACTAGTGAAGCTTCTTAACCTTTATATTTAGACATTTCTTTCATTCAAAGGTCTTGATAGTTAACTTACTGTCATGGGACTGCATGAAGTGGAGGAACATCTCTAGTTTTGTCCTGCAAGTAACTTATCCCAGGGCCTTTCAGAGCACAGCTGGAAGTAAAGATGTCTTGAGCTTCACTTCCTAAAACAGGACTTCCATCGTGAGGCGCAGAAGCCTTCCTCTGGTACCTGGCTTAGCCTTTGAGGTCTCTGATAACCTGACCCATCCTCTACCTATGCGTGTTCTTTTTCCGCAGTGTACATTCCACTCAACTCAAGCACAACTCACACGTCAGCCTTTTCCCACTTCATCCGCCTTCTCTCCCCCGACCTGATGGGTTTCTCTGCCTTCTCCTCAAACCACCCAACTCCTCCAACGAATCCCTTCCTCCTTGCAAGCTTCCACAATGGTGCCGGGACAGCATCTGCCTCGTTTGCACTGAGAGGACCTCTAAGATCACAGCACATGGTCCATCACGTGGCAGATGGCCAACACTTCCTTACGAGTATTTATCCGACTCCATGACGTACCTTGCCTGCCAGGCGGCTGGAGATGATCCCATTACTAGATATAAGGCAGTCAGCCAGGGTGGTTTTTCCTGTTAAAATAACAGTATTAATGATACATCTACAGATTTAACATCTAACCGTAAGAGCTGGTTCCACAAACATTTCCTGTGTGCTTGTACTGAGCGAAGCAAGACACAGGGGCACTGCAAAGAGCGATTATAGTGTGGAACTTCATACCGTCTGGAAGAACACAGGTCCCAGCACTACAGGCCCTCCCTGCAGCCCATGGCCCTAGGACCCATCCCCAACCTGCAGAGGGCATCCACCTGAAAAGCTGCGGAGCAACCTGTTTTCCAACCTGTCTTCCAGCGCAGAACTTTTTGCATCGAGGCGTAATTTACATGCAGTAAAATGCACAGACTCAGACTCCTTAAGTGGTGAGACAAAGCACCATGCAAATCAAAATGCCTCTGCCGAACAGCCTTCACGTAGCTGCTAAAACCAGCACTACAAGACTTTAACCAAGTGTATATTGTCATTATTCCATCACGCATCCAGGGTTTAACAGTGACAATGTCTAGGGAATGTAAGCCCTTAATCGTTCAAAATGACAAAATGTGGCACAGCAATTCCTTTTTTTGTCCCATCTGAATGGTATAGTGGATCAAGGCTGCAGACTTTTCACATGAAAAAGGCATTTCAAGCATTCTTCACATTTGAACACTTTAAGTTCTCCCCAAACTTTCAAAGGAAGTAGGACTTGCTTCTCAGCTGGCGTCCCTCCACTGACACAGCCCCTTAATTATGGACAACAAGATATTTAAAAAGGGTTCTCACCGTGGTCAACATGAGCCAAAACACAGATATTTCTGATGTTAGCAGTGTTTTTCTGGAGCTGCACCATCTTATCCAAACTATTGAGCACCATGGTCACTGACTTCCTGCGACTAAAAAATTAAAAAGCAGTTACAAACGGCGCCTGGGCTGAAGGGCGGGGCAATAAAATCATTTTTTCAAAAAACGCTGGGAGCTGACAAGACTGCTCAGGTGCCTGAAACTGGGAAAGGACGGACGATCCCGGAAGGAGGGAGACACCTCCGGGGCCCACGCCCAACTGGAGCAGAAAAGCGAACACGGATCACGACGGCGCTCCAGGAGTCGGGTCACCGCCCCGGAGGGACGCGGCGATGAGTCACGCAGCTCCTGGAGCTGGGTGCGCCGAGGTGACTGACACCGGGGGATGTGCTCCCGGGCAAGTGCTCGCTGACATTCCTCCCTCCCTTCGCTCGCGCCCCTCGCACGCTTCCCGAGGTGAAAAGCCCCTGGCTCACGACCGCCCGCGGAGCCTGAGGAAAGTTTGGAGTCACGTGCTTACGAACCCCGCGCGGTACTGAGGTCCTCCATCCACACCCCCTTCCCAGGGAACACCTCAACGCTACACCTCAGCCCCCGGGTCCCGGGTCCCGGGTCCCGGGTCCACTTCGGCAGCGGCGCGTCCCCGCCCCGCCGGTCCGCCGCCGCCTAGGCTTCCCAGGTCCCCACCGCACTCCGAGCCGGCCCACCAGGACTCCGAAGCCCAGTGCCGCCCGCACTCACGCGCTCGGCTGCCCTTCGCCCCCTCAGACTCCTGGCCTGGTTTGCACTCGCGTGTCGCAGGTGCTCACAACTCCGCGCTGGTACTGTCCGCAAGCGCCGCGGAGGGGCGGGGCTGGGGACGCACGACCTCTGACCCGCGCGTGCTGACGCCACCGGAAGCTGGCTTCGCGTCCGTCTCCTGGGGGCCGCGTTGCCTTGACAACGGCTGACGCGTTGTCACTAGGGAAGCTGCTGAGCTCCTGAGAGCTGCAGAGTGGACCCTGCGGGCAGGAGAGTATGAGGAGCCGGTGTCTGTGTCAAATCTGCACTTGCGGGTGAGGCGCGGCCGCGGGGAAACTGGGGGGCGGCGGCCGGAGTCTCAGATAGTCTCCGGGAGGGAACGGGGCGCGGACCCAGCTCGCTCTGCACCACCGACTGCTGGTATCTGCGTTTCTGCTGTGTAGGCTCCCTGTCCTGCCATCCGACGGCGCAAGCAGATGTGAAGGTGTGGTGGGATAAAGTGGTTGGATCGGATCTGACTGGGAGACTGAATGGCCCACAATTTTTTTTTTTTTTTTTAAGGAAGGAAAGGTCCAGAAAAAGGATACAACAGAATTTACAGTCCCTGAGTTTTAAACCCGTATTAGGCTTTTTTCCATCTCCAGCTTTCCATCCCAGCCTTACCCCATCCCGTTCCCACCCAGGCAGCGCTCCTTTAGGATCTGAGAGGTAAGAAAGATAGTAGTCGCCAACCTGACACCAAGGATTGGTCTGTGAGTCCTTCTTAACAACCTACCAACCCTGTCAACAATCTTCCCTTTTAGCTTCCTCTTCATTGCTGACCCAGATATTAAATCAATAATGGCCAAATAAATATCATGAAGGGTCATTCCCTTCCTATCGTAATCTTCTCCAAAGGAGAATCACTGTGTGTTGATGGAAAAGCAGTCCTCCCCATAGTTTTACAATAAACGTTTATAAGTAGACGCACATTAAGAGATAAATTAATAGTCGGGGCATGGGTCCAAAACATGGGATGTGCAAAAATTGCTCCCATTTTTTCTAATCTTTATATCCGACCCAACACCCTTTCACGTGCTGCTGTCAGGAACTTCTGTCTGCATGGCTGTGGAGGTTCGCCCTTCTTCCAGCAGGGCATGGACCAGGGAGCTGAGGCACTGCCAGTGTAAGCGACCTCTCTGCACTGTGTACATTGGCCAGGTTCCCATGCGTGAACGGCCCTTCCCATGATCCTTCGCGACTGGCGCCACCCTTGCTTTCAGGTTTATGTTTGAAGCACAAGGATCTTTGGCAACGCTGGGAGCCATGACTGTAGGTCCGTTTTAGCCAACTCTTTTGGGAGCTGGCTGCCTCCTGGGACACTGATGCCCAGTGCTGTGAAGATCGCCCTCTTTCCTGTGAACCCCTCCCTCTCCTCTTTTCACCTTCCTCTTGTCTTTGGGGGAGTCTTTCCCTCTTCCTTTTTTTTTTTTTTAAGTCCAAGACCACCTCTTTCCCCTTGGGAACCTAGGAAACACTATCTTTCAGCTCTAGAGAGATGCCTGTTTTCATCTCTTCCATGGATTGTGTTTTTAAAAGACAGAAAAATGTGCCGAGTTCAGACAGCTTCTATTCACAGCCTCCTTTAGGAAGAATGCTTCCTTAAGGAATTTAAATTGAGTGTCTAGGGACAGTTAACACTCCAAACTGTGGACACCTACCATGAAAAAAGAGGAGCCAGTCAAAAAGATGGTACAATAGACTGAAAATCATGAGTGCGCGTGAAATGCAAAAGATAGAAGAGAAATTAAAGGTCATAGAAACTTCAGGAAATTAAAAACTGAAGCGTAAAGGAAAATAATTTAATCTTGAAGCTAGGAACCTTTTACTCTGAAGGCCCTTAGGGTCGTGGTGTCGAACCCACAGAGTAGACAGGGATCGCCCCGCACTCAGTAGGCAAGTCGCCTTCACACAGCACATCCGGTCACTGTAATGGAAATACAGTGTACCAGGTTTACAACTTTCCAAAAAATGTTTTTGTTCTGATTATAAAATAGATAACGTGAGGCATAGTATAAAAATCCCAGTTAAAAAAAAATCTGTGATATAGTGAAAATCCCTCCTAATCCTATCCCCCCCGTAACGAATATTCTTTAAGACTTGTTTTACATTCACATTCTTTAAAAAGAGTGAGAGAGCACGCTGTACACACTATTCGACCACCCACTTTTTCATTGTTTACCATCTTCCCACCTTCCAATAGCTGTAAAGATCAACCTCATTCTCGTTCACAATTGCACACTGTTAGCGCGTGTTGGTCAGGGTTCTTGGCGATGGGCACTATAATCTACTCTGGCCAGTTCAGGCAAGAAGGAATTTGTTAAGGAGTAGATGTAACTCACAGAATTGTCAGGAGAACCAAAGAAACAGTGTTCGACCTAGGCATTCAGGAAAAATTTCCCAAAAATCACACTGCAAAACTGGGCTGCCAGGGGAGCCCCTGGCTCTGCCCCAGTCAGGAAACTGCTGCAAAGCCCAAGGCCTCAGAGCTGCCATGGCCAGGGAGCTGCCACGGCAGGAAGGCCCCCTGCAAACCAGGATGCTGACTACCCACTGCTGGCTGCAAACTCTGTGCCTCAACCCATCCACACAGGCAGACTGGAGGTCCCCTGGGCATTCTCTCCAAGTCAGAGTCCCACGGGACCACATCTGGCAGGGCAGACCTACATTGCGGAACAGCCTGCAGGGGGCCGGGGAAATCCGCTTGTTAGCTTCAGCTGCTGTAGCAGAAGACACAACAAACTGTTGTCAGGGGGAAGCCAGGGTTTCCGCCACGTAAGGACCTACCATAACTTAGTCATGGTGTCCGTGAACACCACTGCAGAGAAAACAGAGAATGGAAGTATTTTTTGGGGGTGTGTGAAGCTGCTCTTAAGTTTAGAGATGCTGAGTGTATTGAAGGTCTCTGATTACAGTGTAATTATCATACACAATGGTTTTGAAGGTGAAAATAATCTTTCGGCTTATTTCCATTTGCACAGGCGACATCATTGTCCACACGAGACCACAAGGATTTATGAAAATTCCAGCGTGTACTTCCCAACCACTGAATATTTGGAGAAGTATCCCACCTACGGCAATGTTCTTCCCGCTCAGAGTCTTAAACCCAAGCAAGGATTTCGAGCATACGGCGGGAAAATGGAAGGGATGACAACATTTAAGTAAATATTGACAAACTACTTGCTTTACTTTTTCCCCCAGCTCTTCTGCTCTGAATAAAGTTCTTTAACTCTTTAAATTGAACTCTTTCATGGATTTGAGTTGAACTAACCTAAGCAGCAAGGAACTAGTTGAGTCACAACTCGAGAAAAACGGAATGAGGGGAATTGAGTTTGAATAACAAACAGCAAAAAGGGACATGAAAAGTTCTATTGATATTTTTTTACCTGCTGAAATCTCCTGTATTTCTCCCTGTTTTCCATTGTCACCTCACCTGGGAAATGCAGGAGATTCCCGTGTCACCTCTGCTTTCTGCGTTCCCGAGCTATTTCTGCACTTTAGCCAAGGTGATCTTTTAACACACAAATCAAACCCTTTGCTTCCTTGCTTAAAATACTCTTATACTTTCCCATTGTATTTATTCATCATTATTATTTTTTATAAAAAATCAAGTGCTTTTTTTTTCCCAAGTTGCAACCTCTAGATCTCAACTCAGCTACCACTCTGGAAAGCCAGGGACATGCGCCCAGCTTCCAGCTGGTTCAAAGTCCCGTGTCAGCTCCCAAAGCGCATTCCTATCAGCTACCATTAGATCAGCCTCCTGTTCCTGAGAGCAGGACCTCCGTGTGACCTCATCCCACATTCCGGGTCCAGAAACCTACTGTGATGCTGACCGGCACAGACGAGGCACTCCACTGTTTATTCAGTGGGTGATTTTTTTTTTAAAAAAAGTCCTCTTAAGCCTAAACTTTTCATTTAGACCTAGCTTTTTTTTTAATCTCTGTACATTTGCCTTATTTTCTTTCTATTTAAAAAAAAAAAGATTTTTATTTATTTATCTTCAGAGGGGAAGGGAAGGAGAGAGGGAGAGAAACATCCATGTATGGTTGCCTCTTGTGCATCCCCTGCCAGGAAATGGCCTGCAAGCCAGGCCTGTGCCCTGACTGGTTCCCTGTTTTCCTCATCCTGTTACGCACCATCTCAGGCATTACGTGAAAAGCATCTGTAAGAGGCTCCTGCTTACCAGGAGCTTGAACTGGAGCTTCCTCTAACTGAGGGTTTAGAAACATGCTCTATGACAATTTCCACCTTCACTGTCACCCATGCTCATTGGGCTTCCAGCAGAGCTCAGCCTGCGCACACAGCGTGGGTGACGGTGAAGTGGGTGGGAAGTCTGCCCCGACAGTGTGGCTCTGGACCCGGCAAATGTTTTCGGATGAATAAAAATGCACTGACCCTTCACTACTTCTTTCTAGAAAGCCGCTCTGGGTTCGGAGGTGCTCTTGCTAACAGTTAGCTGGCCTGACTAGAGAAACTTGGACTTCTCAGCTTTCTCTGTCCTCTCCCTGTCCTTCCACCCCCCCTCCGCATGTCATCCTGTTGCCCTCTAGCTGGCGTTCGGGAAAAGCAAAACGCAACTCACAAGCCAGGAGAGGCAGAGGTATGTGATTCCTACTACTCTTCATCCACTGAATGACGTTTCTGGAGTGTCTGGTGTGATGCTGGGCACCTGGGACACAGGAATGAATGAAAACAAAAGGATCTCACACTCCCTGCACTTGTAGGGGCTACGTCTGTTGAGGCTGGCCGCCAGAAACGCCCCTGAAAATAGGTGTAAAAGGGCAACAATGGTAAAATCAATGAAGGACAGCACGAGGTCACTTGAGAGCCAGAATAAAAGAGGGTTGACTTTATCAGGCAAATGCAAAGAATGAGCTAAAGCGTGGAGGACGTGAGACAATTAACTGAAGTGCATAAGGAAGTACATCCTGGATGGAGAGCAGCAGGCGGCAGGAGGAGCCTGGGAAGGAGGACGTGGGTGTGGTGTGTGTGTGTCTCGGGGTTGAGGGGGATGTACAGGCGTTAGGAAAGACTAAGGAGATGAGAGCAAGAATGACCTGCCCACACTTACTTGGGAAAGGACGAGTTTGGGTGCGACATGAGAAAGGATTGGGGAGAAGACCAGAGTGGGGGCAGGTGAGTTTAGGAAGCAACCGAACTGATCTGAATGAGCTGCGATGAAAGCCTGGAAGGGTACAGGCGGGGGGTGGCAAGATGCGGGAAGCCCTTAGAGCTGAGAGATGCTTGGGAGGCCAAACTTGACAGGAGCTGATGGCGAACTCAAGGCAGGAAGGGAGTGAGGCGCGCAGGGTGAATCCAAGGCTTCTGGCCCCGTAGCTGAAGAGAAGGCAACACATTCACTAGCCCAGGGAGCAGGCCACAGGACCACGTTTGTTGGGGGGAAACAGTGAGTTTGACGAGGGGCCTATTGAGTTCTGAGATGCCATTGACGCATCAAGAGGCCCTCGTCAGTGCTGGTCAGTGGAGCTCAGTCTGAGCCGAGGTGGAAATGGGAGTCATTTCCATACAGGTGATGAGTAGGCTTGCCCTCGGGAGTGAACACTGGGCGAGAAGAGGAAAGGAGGTGAGGAGAGCACCTGCCGGGAACAGAGGGAGTGGGTAGCAATGCCAGCCGCTGCTTGGGAGGTCGAGGAAGGCGAGGCCTGAACCTGCCTGACAGATGTCACCGCGCAGAAGTCTGCAGACCCCCCGAGCACAGTGGGGAAGCCATGGTGCTCAGACCCAGGCTGATGTGGGTCGCTGGGGGCCAGAAATGGGGTCTGCAAAGTACACTGTGAAGAGAAGAAAGCGTTCCGTGAGTCTGGTTTGGGTTCTGCAGCTTACAGACATAGAAAATATGGGCTCATTCACAGTGGCTTGAACAAGTCATAAAATGAGTGACACAGTCAATAGAGTCCAGAGGGGAAAAGAACAGTTTTGAAGATTTATGGTGGTAAGAGTCATAGCTCTGTGTGAGTGTGCGTCCATCCTTAAAACAACCCCATGCGGTAGGTCATATTATTTCCTATTTTTTTTATATACAAGGAAGCTGGGGGCCCAGGCAGGTTGACTAAGATGTCCAAGGTCATGCACCTCGTGAATGACAGACCCAGATTTGGACCCGGGCAGTGTCATTGCTCAGACTGTGCACCGTCCCCCCCACCCCACCCCAGACAGCCTCAGCATCCGCAGGCCCAGCCCTGCCACACGCAGCCGCACGAGGCCTGGTGGAGCTGCGTCACCGCGTGGGCCCCTTCACATCAGGGGCTTCGGGGGGGAATCCAAGGACGAGTCAGACTCACATCCACACCAGGAACGTGGTTTCCGTCAAGAGGCCCGAGCTGATTATTTATAGAAAAGCAGGAAGACTGCGTGACTTCAGTGAGAAGGAGAAGGCTTGCCCCGATAGTTAACCAGAGTCTTAAGTGAGGTGAATAAGGGTTTTGACAAAGTGGACCCGGGGGACACATGTAAAATGTTTTCAAATTCATGAAGTTTTTCACCTGAGATTTCCTTCCAGGTCTGGAAAAAAAAATCGGTTATGGAAAGATTTTATCTACGTAGCATCTAGTTAACTAGGGATCCATTATAATGATGTCTTGAAAACTAGGATGTTTGACTTATTTATTCCTTGAGGTATCTGGTCACTGAACAGGATATGAAGGAATTTAATTTAATGATTTCTTTCCAAGAGCTTGCCACCTGTCACCATCTCAATATCTCCTTACACCTTTCCGGTAAAAACCTTGAAAACTCCAGCACTGCACTGAGATAACTAGAAACACAGGAGTCTGTGAGGCTATGGTGGAAATCCGTGTGTTTCAGATCCGACTATCGTCCCCATGAAATCGTCCAACAGCCTCGCCACGTCCCAGCAGAGCATAAACCGAGGCCGGGCCAGATCGACCTGGGCACCACCTACACACGGGACTTTCACTCTTATCAAGTGCATCCCGTGGCAATAGTCCGGCCTTCAGAGAGACCACACGTCACAAAAGGGAAGTTGGACACCGTCCCAACCTACAGAGGTGACCTGCCATTTCAAAAAGGGGTGCGACCCCACAGCTGTGACGTCTGACACCACAGTGTCATTTTGCTGCGTTGTCAGACGTCGTCCTCATGGCTCAGGGGAAAAGAAATTGTTCTCTTTGGTCAAAATAATGTTGTGGGGTGAACCAAAGACCATTTGCCTGACGGAGCGTTAACAGCCCTGGCTTCCTGTCCAAAACTCAGCCACTTGCTTAGTGGCTCCACACACATAAAAACCAGGGACAAGCCTGGTGTCACGTCTGCCACATGTATTCCACGTGTTGTTGGCACCAGGCAGACTAGCAACCATGTCAAAACCAACAAGGGGGCACATGTCAATTCAGCCGTATCAATAATGATATTACAGGTAAGCGATCTGAACCGTGGTAATTAAAACACAAAGATGGTCGTAGTACATGAAAAAAAAAGAACCACCTATGTGCTGTTTACATACCACCTGTTAAATCCAAAGATATAGCTAGGTTAAAAGTTAGAACGAGATGTATAATCTCGTATAAAGCCTATAAAATGTATCCCATGCAAACTCTAGTGAAAGAAAGCTGTAAGATGGACTGTATTACTATCAGAAAATGCAGCCTTCGGAACTAGTCACGTGACCGGGGATTAAGAGGAACATTAGCTAAGGACTCGGGGACCTGCTCTCTCACCAGATCCATGTTCACAGAAACAATAATGTGCTTGACCCACCCCACCTTTTCCCGCCAGGCAGTCTCACAGCCCAGAGACCCCCGCCCTTGACCCCAGGTGCCCGCTGCCACCCAGACACCAGTAGCTTGCAGTGGGAGGGACCGTGTGGTCCCAAGCTCGGCCACCCTAGCAGGAATGTCTTCCTGGTGAGGAATTGTTCTCTTCAGATGAGGCGTAATGATAAACAGTTCCATATTGGCCTTTTGCATGAACTTGACAGTGGGCTTCAGACTCTTAATGCTTTACCTCGTGTAACTTCTTCATAAATTAATTTTTGCTATTTAGAAATACCTGTTTGGGTGACGTCAATTCAATGGTACTTCTCAGCTTTCCGTCTTCCTCATCTAGAAACAGAAAAAAACCCAAGTAGCCCTCAGTTGAAGGGTAAGCACTCCGTTTTCCAGCCAGGGTTCAGGGAAGCAGCCAGACGTAGAATGAAGGTGTCTTAACACTAAGTCTCACGCTGAGCTCTTACATGTCACTTCCAAGTCGTACATACAATTTCTAACACTTCCAAAAGCACTGTGCACAGGTCCCTGTCCTCCAGTCGGCCCCGCGCCTTCTGGGAACACCTTGAAACCCGTTTCCTGAGGAGGTAAACGGAAGCCAGTGATCTTTGGGGGACACCACGAGTCACCCTCTGCTCAGGGAGGCCTGCAGGATCCCTCTGAGAGATCCCTCCAGAGCAAGCAGCAATGCCCACCTCACCTTCCTTTGCTCACCCAGCCGGGCCCTCACTCTTAACATTAGTCCTAGATGTTATGGGCCCCTTCCTCGTTTTACAAGTTAGAGCAAAAATCCCAACCAGCTCCTGGCACCACAGCCAAACCTGCTAAACTGTCTCCACCCAACACACGGCCATGTGGGCTTTCAAAGCCCATCAACACTCAGACGCCGGTGCCCCTTTCCCTGGCGGTGTGATCGGATGAATGAATCTACAGGTGGAGAGTTACACGTGTTCAAGGTGGGTGGGTGGGGGCATAGGAAGAGCAGGTGGAAATGGACCCCAAAGAACAGAGCTGATGGGAATCAGGGGAGCTCTGTACTGGATTAGTGTTCAGATTTCTAAAGGAAACAAGCGGGAGTTGGGCAATGAGGGAATTGGGTCATGGTATTGATAAGATCATGGTTTCCCTCGATATTTAAAAATGTTCTCTCTCTCTTTTAAGATGATTACAGGGCTTGGGACATTCAGAGACGTGAACTTAGTAAACCAGAACAAACTTACTCTCCCCCTACAAAGAAATTTGGGAATTCCACTACGTTCCAGGACGACTACGTGCCCCAGGAGACGCAGCCGAGGCAAAACTTTAAACCCGTCTGTGCGGTCAAACCTCCCACAGCCCCTTTTCATGGCGACACCAGCCATCGCCTCGATTATGTGCCTTACCAGCTCGAGTCCCAGCCTGCTCGGCCCAAAGCCACTTACAGGCCCCCTGACCAACCCTTTGAGGACCTCACGACTCACCGATGTGCCTTTCAGGGTCTTCTTGGTGAGAGCGCAAAAATCTGCAGGCCCGCACACGGCACAGTGACCCAAAATGCTCCGTTCGAGGGGAGCACCGAATTCCAGGAAAGTTTTCAACCTTGGGAGGTCCCACCCCCCGCAGCCAGGAAAGTGCCCGAGTACGTCCCTCCGCCAGGGGCCATGCAGCTGCTCAGCTCCAGCCGGCTGGACTTCGTGCCCCATCGGGCGAACCGTGTCCTCCCCATCAGGCCCGCGTCCCACAGGGGAAATAAGAAGCATCCTTTCCAAGGAAAAAGCACCACGAAGGAAGACTTCCCCGCATGGGAAAGTTGTCGCCGAGGCCTCATTAAACAGCGGCAGCAGATTCCCCGCGCATCTGGAAAATTCGAGGGCCTGAGCACTTTCCGATCTCACTATGTGCCACACAGGCTGACTCTCACGGAGAGCTGTAAGCCTTTAAACGCTCCCTTGCGGAGTTCCAGCCCATTCGACGACGTGACCATGTACTCCACCGAGTACGCCCCAAAGAAACGAGAAGTCTGCCCTGCCAGCGACCCGTCCCTGCCAGGCTACGTCTACGAAAACACCGACTCCCGAGGCCACAGGTTCTTCCGCAGGGTCACGCCCACCGTGAAGGCCTTCTAGCCGGCAAGTCCTGTTTGCAAGGGGGGCACCTAACTCAGAGGATATTCACTGTTCAAGGGCAAAAACCAACTGGGTATAGTAGAAAAAAAATTGAGAGAGCAGAAACAAATTATCTTGAAATTTTTAATCAAGAAAATCAGACACCGTTTCATGGGAAATCAGGATCTCAAAATCCATTTGGCGCTACACCTGTAACCAACCCTGTGCTTTCGCCGGTGCTTCTGAAAGCCGAATGGTGTACGTCCCCATCGGAATCAGTCTCGAATACACTCTGTAGTAGCTTGTCTCCAGTCGGCTGTCATTTATACTTGTGTTTGTAATTATGGCGGCCGCACGGTGACCTGCGGGACAGCTGTCATCCTCTAAGCACAGGAGGGCTGTCCATACGACCACTGGAAATGATACATGGATTCCTCCCCCAAAGACAATTTCCTGAAGAGGCATCCGCACAGCACGGTGCACAGAGTTGAGTTTCGGTGGCCGCCACTCACAGCGTTCAGGCTGGTTCGTGTCACCGTGGTGTGGCAAGGAGAGGCCCTGCCGTCGGGAGATCGGAGGACCTCGGTTCAGGTTCCAATGGCATCCGACTCCATTCGTGCCACCCTGGGCGAGCGACTCCTGTCTTTGAGCCTCCGTGTCTGCATCTGGGGGAAGGCGTGTGCCCTGCCCCCTCCCCCAGACTGCTCTGTGCGTCAGATCACAGGACACCTCGTGACCCTGGAGGTCAGAGCCCCGAACGAAAGTCAGGGGCCGCCAAAGAGCCATTCCTCTCTTCTCCTTTTGCAAATTCGGGAGTTACCTGCTCGGTCATCCTTTCCTGCCCTCAGCGGGGACTGGGGGATACGCTCATCTGTGTCCGGCTGTGAGAGGTATGACCTGTGAGTCCTACCATCCCCTCTGTGGTCCCACGACCACCTGAGAAGTCGTGACGGAGAACGGAGCATGGGGATGGGGGACAGCGAAGTGGAGACCGACAGCGTTCCCTGGACAAAGCACTCGCTGAGTGACTTCAGGCATGACTGACAGCTCTGGAGAAACCTGCAGGGTCACCTCGGGTGGTCCTGCGCCTGACTGTCATGCCCAGAGTCACTATTTGGAAGGACCGGACTCAGCATGAGGCCACACCCCTGTCCTTCTGGTCCCCGTGAAGTAGAACGAACACACTGTGCCCCTCCGTGCTGAAAACCTCCTATGGAGTCAAACTCTCACTGTGTGTACTTTTAGGTAAATGATTACATTGTGGGAAAATAGGATTTAAACTACAGTTTAGTCATCTGTAGCTTTAAATTTGTTTCAAACTATGTACTTAATTGAGAATAAGTGCACTTGGTTAAAATACTTTTGATTATTTGAAAGTAGTTTGTTTTAATTTACTTTTGTACGTAGTCGTTAAAATTATGATATATAAGATTTTATATTTCTCTGCAACGTGAATAAAGAAAGCATCAGCAAAGGAGTAAATTTTCATTAAGTCATTTCCATCCATACCCAATCTTCTCTGGAAAATAAAGCTTTTAATAAAGTCTTATTTAGGCTAACCTGTCCATAATTTGATATTCTTACCTTTTTAAAAAAAAATTAGCCCTGGCTGGTGTAGGTCAGTGGATTGAGCACGGGCCTATAAACCAGAGGATCAAGGTTCGATTCCCAGTCAGGGCACATGCCTGGGTTGCAGGCCAGTTCCCAGCAGGGGACACATGAGAGGCAACCACACATTGATATTTCTCTCCCTCTCTCCTTCACTTCCCCTCTAAAGATAAATTAATAAAATCTTGTTGAAAAATTATTGATTTACTTGAGAGAGACATCAATTTGTTGTTCCACTCACTGATGCACTCATTGGTTGATTCTTGTAAGTGCCCTGACCAGGAATTGAACCTGCAACTTTGGTGTATCAAGACGATGCTCTAACCACCCGAGATACCCAGCCAGGGCAAGGCTTCAGCTTTTTACCCCCTCACTCCATGATGTTTTACACAGATGTGCCCATTTTCACCCCACGCCACGGACTCAGGACTCTCACCGACGCCTCCCACCCCCCAACCAGCCCGTGATCACGGCAGTCGGAGAACTGCTTTCTAGGGTGGCCAGGGCCTGCTTCTCTGTCACCTCCGATACCCGCACCGAGAGCTCGTTCACCTGCAGCCACTGCGGAAGTCAGCGAGGCACCGTGGCCAGGACAGGCTTACAGCCGGCACGCGTGACGGATGCCACAGTCCGCACAATGGGACCCGGGTCTTCTTCCCCAGACAGACCAGCACGTGACCTCCCACAGACGCCTTTCCCTCTCTGAGCCCTGTTTCCTGACCTGTAAAACTCACTGCGAAGGACATATATCCAGAATATAGCAAGAACTTCTAAAACTCAACAGTAGGGAAAATGGCTAAAAGATGTAAACAGATACTTTGCCAAAGAATATGGACAGGTATTGTTGCTAAGGCTGCTGTAACCCAATGCCACGAACCGGGCGGTTTAATAAAACTAGCAAAGCCCCGTCTCACAGTTCCGGAGGTGAGAAGTCCAAGGGACACAGGTGTGGGCAGGGCCGTGCGAGGCAGGGTCTGCTCTGCTGCTCTCTCCTGGCTTCCGCAGCAGTGCCGCTGTCCTTGGCGCTCCCTGGCCTGCCGACTTTGGCCTTCATCGTCACGTGGTGCTCGCCCTGTCTGCACACATCTGTGTCTGAATTTATGCAAATATCAGTCACACTGGTGTTCACAGACATAGGACTCTCACGAACATCAGCATCCCCCCCACAGTCACATCTTGAATCATCTGCAAAGATCCTATTTCTGAAGTCCGGCCGGGAGGGGACACCAAGCAACCTATAAAAAAAGATGGCAAATGGAGAGATACTCCACATCCTTAGTTGTTGGGGAAATTTCTCTGAATCGGCAATGAAGGAAATATTATCTTCTGATAATGCCCCCCACTCTGTAGAACCTGTGTGGGCCTCTGTGGAAATTTAAAAACAACAGAAGGAGGAGGAAGAGGAGCGGGAGGGGAGGGAGAGAGGGAGGAGGGGGAAAGAGTGACGATGACGAATGCCTCCGGTGGACACACCTGAGATGTGAACCTGCTCATCTCCCACATGGCTCAGCCACATCAGGGTCACATGGTCTCAACGTTACTGCAAAATGACTGAGTTCTGTTTTCCACAAGTGACCTTGGCCGCTCCAGGGCCCTGAGTGAAGGCAAATGAAGGGGAACCTCAATTCCAAGACCATGACTGTGGTCTGTTAGACTCACTGCTAATCCCAAAGCACGACACCCAGGCCTGGGAGGCAGAGACGCGCCTCCAGGTGCAGACCTCTCGCCTCAGTCACCAAACTGCTCACGGTGGACGAAACACAAGGGTGTCCGCTCCGCCACCAGCCCTCTGGACAGCTGCCCACCTCGAGTCCTATTTCAGGCTGTGTCTGCTTGGAACTGCCCCCCCCCTTCTGCCCCCGACTTCCTTTTCACTCTGATTCACAGAACGTAAGGGAGGGCAATAAGGGAGTCAGAGGCATTTCTGTATGACTTGGCCCGGATCTCGTCACCCACACTCCAGAGGACGGAGCACAAGCTGGGGCCTCGGACCCACCAGGGTTGGTCCTAGAATCGCAAGGAGGCAGCCAAGGTGACAAGACCCACGGCCACCAAGACACATAACGCCAATAAGCCAGCTGCATTTATGAGGATGCTGTGGAATAATCAGAGTAAGTTTATTTCTGAGTTACTTAAGGGTCATGAACGAGAAATGTGACTCTTCTGTTATAGGAACAGTAGTAAAATACAGTACACAGGAATGTCCTTTGCGGGATAAAGACAAAACCTAGCAATTTTAAATACAAAGGTGAATCTACTCAATAAGAAATTCTGTTAATAAGAAAAATATATGCCCCATGTCTTTCTTACACACTGTACAAAATAAAATATTGCACCTTTAAGTCCTATAAAGTATATACAAAGAGTATCTTACAAAACGGTCTCTCTCTTAATTTAAAAACCTTCCACAGTCAAGTGCGGACTGATGCTCGGTGAGGTGCGGGGCTGGCGCGTCCGAGCCACGCCCCCGTCCCATCGCGGCCGCCGCCCCTCCACGTACAGTAGTGTTCATCACAGTGTCGGCGAGGCTGAAGTGGGGGGGCCCCGACACTCGGACCCGGTGCAGAGACCCAGTGAGGGTGTCCACAGACAAGCCAAACGTGCCGCTCACTTACGAGTGACCAGGGATGAGATCCGGTGCTGCCCGCTTCCTCGGGTCCCTTTGCTGTCGTGGGTACAGGCTGCTGGGACAATGAACTGAAGACGCAGGAACACTTATTTTGGGTTGTGGGACAGCGAAAGCCGTACCTGGTGCAACGTGCGGGACCGAGCCCTGTAACGTGTTAAACCAGCCTCAGAACGGACGGTTTACGGCGACACCCAAACTATTCGGCAGCAACGCTGACTCCAAACCTGGACGTCACCCCTGACGCCAGCGCTGGCCTGAGGGAACCCAACCCGAGTCTGAGCCGACCTGGCCCCAGCCCTCGGTCCCTCAGCCGCAACCCTAACTCCACTTCCAATCCAACCAAACCCAATCCTGAAACGAAAACGCACTCTAAACGCAGTCCCCAAACCCTGTCTCGAACCCTCGGCCTACCAGTAACTTCCAGCCTAACTCTGATCTCGCTTTGGAGTTGCTGAAAAAAAAAAAAAATGAATTCCAATTAAAAAACAATTATGTACCATCAACAATTTTTTTCAACTCCCATGTTTCATATTTAGATTACTTTCTTATACTTTTTCCAGAATGAAAACCCTCAGGAATACCACTTTATGCATAAATTAGGTGTGATCAGCCTTTCATTTTCTGTTTGTGTGCAAGAAAGTAGCACTCGGAAAGTTTCATTCACAGCCCTTCCAGCGTCGACTACACTTCAAAGTCAGTAGAAAACGTTGCCCTTCGCTCTCCTTCGGTTCCCAAGGGGCCTTGTTGGGTCTTGGGGAGGTTCGTGCAGTTGTGAAAACGGCAGCGGGTTCTCGAAGAGCGAGGACCAGGTGCCCCCCACCTGGACGATCCTGGGACCAGTCGGTGTTTCCAGCCCGGGCAGAGTGACTGTCTCTTTTCTCACAGATGAAACTGAAGGATCCACAGAAGTCCCACAAGGGCCAACGTAGGAGGAAGTGCCGGCCAGAGCTTCTACCAACGTAACTGCCTTATGAACGTTCAGAAACCGCCACACTCGAGAGAAGAGGAAGCCATCGCTGTGGTCGCTTGTGGTGTCCCCAAGGCCCCGGATGCTGTGCGCTATCTCGTCCGCGCGTCCTGGGAAGCAGCAGGATGTGGCCTCCCAGGGGTGGCCCTTGGTGTCGCCTGCTGAGAGGGAGCCGAGGCGGTCCCGCTCGCGCGTCGGGCTGGTCCGGGAGAACAAGGAGACTCACGGCGGGGGCTGGACCAGGATGGGACGGCGGGCCCAGCGTTTCTGAAGAAATGCACGCGTGCGGACCAGCTGCGTGGCGGAGAGAGCTCGGGCGCCCCGTCTCGTCCTCACAGCCAGCAGCCCGGCCGCCCCTCCCGAGGCTCACCGGGCCCGGCAGGATGCGCAGCACCTCCGCCGGTACAGGTCCAGCGAGCACAGACCGAGATGCTTCACAGACGGACAGTAGTAAGTTGTGTCTGTGCAGTTCCCTGTGAACAAAAGACAACAAAGCGAAAACAAACCCATGGGCGTTGGACACGCAGCTGATGAAGAGGCCGAGCCAAACACCGTCGGCTTCTGTGAAAAGCACAGGTGGAGAGCGCCGGGCACTGGGGAGAACGTGGGCTTGTGCCCGGGCGGCCGCTCTGCGCCGGTCGGAAGTGCACCACACCCGCTGCTGGGCACTGCTTCCCGCTCCCCAGGGACCTCGCGGCCCCTCGGGCCCCGGCTGCCCCTCTCAGCACCCAGAGCAGCACCACTTGGCTTTCGCAGGGTCCCAGGCCCCTTGTAAAACTGACGAAGGCCATGACCCTCCCCCTAACAGAAATACATGTATGATCAAACTTCCCGAGTAACATCAGGGCATCTGCTACCTGCTCAGTCCTGTCCACGGATCCCTGTCGAAGGGATGAGACTACCAGGCGCAGCCGCAGCCCATGCTTGTTAGAAGGCAGTGAGCGGTGCCCCTGGAGCCCTACTGACTCAACCGCCGTGTCTCTGAAGAGCACAGTGTTGCACGCACGTCAAAGCAGCTCATGTCCCGTCCCACACGCCAGGTGCACCCTGAGTGAGCCCTCAGACACGACACTGACGAGGTACCCACGTGAGGGTCTGGCTGAAGCAGGGTTTTGGGGGGGGCAGTCGTGATACCTGGGAGGGGTACATACTGTCACAGGAAGGCCCCCCGCAGTGCTGCCAGGACGCCGGCTTCTTCCTGGGCTGGCAGTGCCTCTCGGGCACGGGCCTGCAGCTCCTGGTGTGCACACAGTTCACTCTCCGGGACTGGAAGCCCCGGCCGCAGGCCGCCGTGCAGGGCCTCCACGGGCCAGCGTGCCAGCACGCGTCACAGGCCCCCGGCGAGCAGTCCCTCCCAGACGTAGATCTGATGTGGAAGTAGCAAAAAAATAAATAAATAAAGGAAAAACGGGAAAAGTGAGCGTCACTCCTTGCTGGGAGTCAGGCCATTCAGCGGACCACATTTTCAACGTATCACACGTTTGGATGATTAGCGCCCAGGGTATCAGGAAGCGGGTTTGCAGGGCTCATGGCGGGGCTACCATGGCCGTAACGGAGGCAGCGACGGCATGTTACCACTAACTCCCACACCAACTCACGGCACGCACCTCGAACGACGCATTTGGGTCAGGAAGGAAAGAATGACTCACACTCTAAATCTGTCAGCGCACTTTCAGTCCTGTCTGTATCAGCACCTGGGGCACACGTTTATATTCTCGTGTAGCTATGAATTTGCATGTGCGCCATGTAGTAGGCTACAAGAAATCCTGTCGTGTGCATTCCGGCCGCAGCAGGCCCTGCAGTCAGACCTGACGGAGACCACTGCAAAGGAGGAAGCTGCCTCTGGCTCCTTCCGCTTTACGACAGAACTGGAAGTTAATGAACGCTCTCTGATTTTTTAAGAGGTGTTTTTACCCTTGGAGCCACCTTGGTGGGGCCACTTTGGGGTGGGTGCCCTTGTTCTGTAGGCCAGGGCTCCTGGACTGTCTATTCCCACCGCCCCCTCCCCCCCAAAGCTGACCGTCAAAGCACACTAGCTTGACTGGTTCGATAACTGTCTCTCTCCCGTGAATCTGGGAGTTGCTGGAGTCTGGGGTGGTGGGGGCCCTATTTGGCCACACAGGTGAGAGCGGTGGGGAAAAAAGAAGAGACAGTATTTCAGAAAGAACAAAGAATGAAGCAGAAACAGAGCTGCAAAAATGAGGGGTGAAAAGCCCCGCACGGCCACTCCTGCCTTGGTTACAGTCCTTCCTGAGGTCTGAGTGCATCCCCCCTTCGGATTCCACAAGGAGCGCTGAAACTACACTGGCAATGTAGTAAGATCAAACTGTGATACCCTGAAATTCTCTGAGGGAAGCAATGCCCAGATCAGCCAGGAGGGGGAGACTCCATCCAAGCGTTTACACAACACTCACAGCAAACTGGTTATGGGATTTATGGGGGGGGGGACCACGGGAGGGGGCCTTTGTCTTTCTTTGGACAAACTTGTGTTTCTTCAGACACCAAGGCAGACACTGAGTGCCCCTCAGCTGTCGCCCGACACAGAGATCAGCGTCTCTACTCAGAAGGTTAAAGAAATATTCAAAGAATGCACAAAATATATGTTTAAAAGGACACCAAACTGTCGTGCCCACGTGTGGGCTGGGCCCGTCTTCATAAGAAATCTCGCGCCCTCTCTGCATACATCTTCATGCCTCTGGACGTTCGACATCCACATCATGTGGAACGATCAGTAGCACGCATTACTTCCTTCCACTGGAATGCACACTATTGGGGCGGCGGGAGGGGCTGCTGGCGCGGGCTGCTACCTGTTTCTTCCATCCTCGCAGCCGGAGTCCGAGCTGTTGTGCTGACAGACCACTGGATGCTGCTGTATCCTCGCGGCCGCTTGGCTCAGGCAGCGTCCAGGACACTGGAAGGGAAGCACAGCGCAGGGACGCAACCCTGTGAGCTCACGCCCGCCACCTACAGGCCAGAGAGGGGTAGACAGGCAGCACCCAAACTGCCCCAACAGCACCGTGATCCTGCGTGATCTTGGACTTGAGCAGCCTCCAGAACTGCGGGGAAATAAATTCCCGCTGTGGAAGGCACCCAGTCTGTGGTATGTTGCTAAGGCCATCCTAGAAGACTGATGTAGCTCCCTACACAGTGCTTGAAAATTGTTTCCAAATGCTTTTCTGGTAACATTAGTTAAGGCGGCCTTTGGGACCAGGGGGTCGGCACTCCGCTGCCCACGTAGCTAGTGCTCTTTGCTCCTTTCCTCGAAGCCCGCACCTCTCTGCCGCCCCAGACCAGGCCACCTCGCAGCTCCGGGGGCCAAAGGTCCCAACCTCGGTGCACTGTCGTACGGAAAGCCAGAGAGACCCTGTGATTTTCAAATGTGACCCCTGACATCAGACACACACATTTGTTTTAGAGACAGATCAGATCCCCCCCAAATTAAAAAATAAGTATTAGATGATTTCACCTATGTGTGAAATCTAAAGAACAAAATAAACCAACACACAAAATAGAAACGGACTCGTAGACACAGAGAACAGATAGTTGCTGGGGGTGGCTGGTAAAAAAATAAGTGAAGGGATTGAGAAGTACAGTTGGTAGCTACAGAAAATGAAAAGTACATCATAGGGAATAGACTCAAGAACATGTAATAACTGGGGGGGGGGCCAGGAGGGTAGTGGAAATACGGGGGGATCACTGGGAAACCACAGGACCGTCTAACCGCTGTGCTGTACACCTGACGCACAGTGCACGGACGGTCAAGTGTCACTGATAAATAAAAAAGCTGAAAGTCTATTAAGAACGGGTGATGATGGGGGCGGTGCTGAGCTCTACCTGGCCCCCCGGTTCGACGACGCATGGGTGGCTGGTGCATGGTCTTCTCCCCGGAGGCTTGCCTTTGGGGTCGCATGCTGCTGCGGGCAGCGCCCACACGGAGCCGCTGGCCTTTGTGCGCTTACACGCCACGCGCCGGACGCGGAATCCTGTGCCGCAGGACACGGAGCACTCGGACCACGAGCTGGCGAACCACCTGGGGACGAAAACTATAGGAGCTTAGTGAGGACTGGGATGGCGGGCCAGTGCCGCATCTCAGAGAGCACGTGTCCAGCCTCTGTGGGAAGGGCCCGCGACACAGACGATGCCCGGCCTCACTCCCAGAGATGCAACTCAGGGAGGCAACGGGGTCACCAAGGAGAGATGGCCAACACGGGCTGGGGTAGAGCCGTCAGCAAGTATTAGAGACCTGTGTGGCCCCAGAGGGTAGAGCAGGAGATGAAATCAGGTGGAAATGTCAGAAAGGTAGATTTTGATGTATTGAAACCAAAGGGGAGAAAATGCTATTTTTAAAGCCACTATGTGGCTGTTCACTCAGCGAGAGAGTCACTCCTTACCTTATGTAATTGTCACGCTCTTCCCATTCTTACTGGGGAGACACCGGTGTCCATGGGGTTAAACAGCTAGGCTGTGGCTGAGTAGGTCACAAGCCAACAGAGCCGGGGTCTGTCTGACCCTCAAGTCACACCTGAGTGGTGGTAGAAGACTGAACTCGGAAGGGGACACCCGGGAGGCACTGGGCACCCTGTTCTGGAAGGCGTCTGAGCTGCACCTGGGATCTTGGGGCAAGGGGGACCCTAACCTGAGGCCTCAAACCTGAGCTTCCCCAAGGGGACCACGGACGTGGATGGGGAAGAATGGCATCTTTGTCACGCAGCTGTAATGGCAATGGCACATTTCCCTGAATTATAAAAATGAAAGGCACAAAGCACAGTAGTAGTAGCAAAACCTGTGATTTTGTTGCCAACAGATATTTTCGTGGGGCATCAGAATCGAGGCGGGCGCCTCCACATATCCTTTACGTCACCACCACTTCAGAAGTCATTTGCCACTAAATCTTCATCTTTAGGGCGTCACCAGAGAGGCGAACCCATTACAATAGCACACATTTTTATGATAGTTCAAAACTGGATTCAGTATCACTGGTTTTCCTTGAAACGAAAAACATTTCCTTTTACATATTTAAGAACCCATGTTCTGAGAAGAGAACCACAGGCTGGTGAAGACCCCTCCCCCTCCATTCAGAGGGGCTCTGGGGTCGACGACCTCTGTCACCCATTCTGGGTATGGCAGGGCGGGGGCAGTACAGCATTAAACACGCCTCTGTTTCCTTCTCTGTAAAACAGGGGCGACAGTACCTGCCTCGTAGGTTCGCGCTCAGTAAATGCAACTGTTATCATTGTTATTATTACCATTTCGTAGATTTGGGTGCCAAATATTTTGGTCAGTTATCTGCTAGGGACTAGGCTATAAAATCACTCATTCCCTCCCTCCACACATATTTTCAGAGAGTGCAGACTGAGGCCAGCATGGTGCTAAGGTCTAGGGATAGAGTGTGGAGCCAAACAGCCACAGATTTGCTGTCACAGAAACGACAGCCCAGTGGGAGACTGAGACAGACTGACTGCAATAAGAGCTTTGAAGAACAACGAGGAAATATAAAAAACACAGAGCACAGAGCCCTGGTTTAGGCTGGAGGGTGGAAGTCAGAGAAGGTTTCCCAGAAAAATAGATGCATAGAAATAACTACGGGAAAAGAGGGGGAACAGTGTTCTAGGTGGAGGGAACAGAATGTGCAAAGGCTCTGAGTCAGGAAGGAGAATGGCACAACTAAGGGAAAGAAAAACCCCAGTGCAGGTGGAGTGCAGACAACCAGGCTGGAAGAGAGAAGTGATGAGAAGCCTGAGGCCCAAGCATGGAGGGATCTTGAGTCTCTCACACATTCATTCCACCCGGCAGCAAACATTCGCTGAGCACCTGTCGTGTGTCAGGCGCTCCTCTTAGAAGAGGTAAAATCATGACAAAACTGTGCTTGAAAAGACAATTCTGCTTACAGAGTGGAAAGCGCCCCCTAGTGGGGGGGGAGAGGAGAACCAGGAGGCTCCTGGAACAAGGATGGCGTGGACCCCAGGGTGACAGTGGAAATGGACGAGAATGGACAGACGTGGGAGGACAAGGGGCATCTGGAAGGCACTGGGGACGTCGGTCGGGTACAGGGTGGGTTGAGCAGGAGTTTGATTTCAGGTGTTTTTAAATATTTTTTGGTTTGTATCGTCTATTCCATAGAAAGGTTGTTTGTGGCTTTACCTGCAGGAGTGGGGTCTGGTGAGCTACAGAGCACACAAGGAAGCCCCCGAGCTCAGCTCTATGAGGATGATCATAAGGAGCAGACAGCACCCCCGGGCGGCAGGAAGCTGCTTCTGGGGAGCGACTATAGGCAGAGGCTCTGAAACCAGGCCGTGTAACCTCAGCGGGTTTCCCACCTGTCACACGGAGAACTGGCTACGTCGACCTCCCAGGCACTTGTGACGTGACCCACCCAAGTCTTCTAGCAGAATGCCTGGCACAGAGTCCAAATTATGGTGCTTTTTAAAATAAGCAAAAACCCAGCACTGGCTGATGTAGTTCAGTGGATTGAACACCAGCCTGCAAACCACAGGATCGCCAGTTCTATTCCCAGTCAGGGAACATGCCTGGGTTGCGGGCCAGGTCCCCGGTAGGAGGTGCACAAGAGGCAACCACCCACTGATGTTCCTCTCCCTCTCTTTCTCCCTCCCTTCCTCTCTCTGTAAAAATAAATAAAATCTAAAAATATATATTAAAAAAACAAGCAAATACCCAGCACTGATGAGACTGGAAGAGGGGCTCCGCGTACCTCGAGGGGCAGTCCCGGATGTGGCAGGGCTGCCACCGGGCGCGGGGCTTCTGGAGGTGGCTGCAGAGGGCCTCGCCCACTTCCTGCCCGCCGGCCACCACACACTGGGGTCTCTGCGCTCGGCCTCCCTGGCGGCCACAGGTGGCAGAACACGGTGTCCAGTTACCAGGCTTCCAGAAGGGCTCTGCAGGAAGGAAGTGCAAGGTCACGACAGCCCCAAACGAGACACGACACTGGGCTGGACAGGACCTGGCCGAGGGCCACCGTGGGCTGTTTTCTGCTGAGCTGCTGCCTGTTTCTTTAAACAGCACACAGAGAGCCAGCGGTCATGGAGGGCAAGGGGGTCCTTCAAATCTCATTTTCCCCCGATGAACTTAGGGTAATAACTGGTGTGAGTGGCGGCCAGGAGGGGGCCCTTGGACCACGGCCTGGGACGGGGCTCTGGTAGGCCAGCTGGATCCGCCAGAAAAATCCCAGGGAGAGGAGCAGGTCCGCGGGAACCTCCTCAGCTTTCTCCAGCAGGGCCGGGAGGAGGACGGGGCGGGCGGCCTCTCCAGGGTGCTCCGGTGGGGTTCAGTGTCTCAGAAGTGGACCAGGTGGCCCGGCTGGGTGGCTCAGTGGGTTGGAGCATCATCCGTGCACCAAAAGGTTGTGGGTTCCATCCCTGATCAGGGTACACACAGGAGGCGACCAACCAACTAATGTTTCTTTTCTCTCTCCCTCGCCCCCCCACTTCTTCTGTGTAAAATCAGTAAACATAACCTTGAGTGAGGACTAAAAAAAGTGGATCAGGTGGAGAATGTAAGATGCCTCTGCAAGGACTAGGGCTTGAGTAGGAAGGTCAAAGGGGCACTGCCACCCCTTCTTCCTTCTCCACCGACGCTGACTCTAAGTTTCAGGTTCGTCCTGCCGCGGCACAAATGATTCTCCCAGAAGACATCTGGGCAGGCGAAATGGGGAGTGGCCTCCGGGAAGCGGAAGCCGACCACCGCCCTCGCCATGGTTACCGCTCTGGCATTCTCCGCCCACTGCCCACGGCCCCTCCCGCCCCTTTGACACGAGGTAAAGAGATGAGCTGGGACGTGACGAGGGCAGATCTGTGTGGGATCACAGAAGGCGCCAGGCTCCCTGGTAATCGTCACCGCAGCTGACAGCTACCAGCCGTGTCCACCGGCTCCCTCCCACCGCCAAGCGGTTCTCCAGTTGTTCCTCCCCAATGTCTGCATTTCCGTCCTAAGTTGCATGTGGCATCATTTACAAAGCAGGGGGGCCTAGCGTCATTGTTCATTTCAAACAATTTTTATAAATATCCAAGTTTATGGAGAACGTTCCCAAGGATAGGTATTAAATTAGGCACTGTAAAAACCTCAGTTTTTCATCTAATCCTTGCGTTCGTCTCACGAATCAGATGATTTGCACTTACACCCCATGTGTCAGGAGGTGGGGCTGTAGGGAGGTCACCAGTCTCCGTGGCCGGAGCCCCAATGAGTGGGATTGGGCCCCAGGGCGCCCCCTCCCTCCTTCCGCCACCTGAGGACTCAGCCCGGAGGTGCGGACTCGACCCAGGGAGCCAGCTGTCACCAGCCACGGATCTGTGGCCATCTGGTCTCTTGGACTCTCAGCCTCCAGAACCGTGAGAACTAAACATCTGGTGTGCAGAAGCCGCCTGGTGCACGGTATTTCATGGCAGCAGCCGGAACGGACTGGGGAGTACTCAAAGAACGGCCCAAAGTGGACGCTTACCCAGCAGGTGCAGGGCCGATGTTGCTGTCACCTTCCCGAGCGCGTTGGTGGCCCTGCAGACATAGGTTCCTCTGTTCTCCAGGGACACATTCTGCAGCCACAGGGATCCATTGACCAGCACGGAGACGTTGTCACCCAGAGGTCCCCCTCTCTTCACCCACCTAACCGTGGGCCGAGGGACACCTTCGGAAGAAAAACAAACATGACAAAGGCTGAGTCCTTTCAGAATGGACCGTATGACCAAAACTGCCAAGCAAGCATGTGGGGCACGGCTCGGACGAGGGGCTTGATCACCTGTAATGGGGGAAAATGTCTATCTCTGTCTCTGTAGCTTCATTACAACAGGCGGGGGCCCTAAAGGGCTCCCGTGGTCCATGGAGCACCTGATTGGTTTACGGGTCCTGTTGAGGAGGCGGAGCCAAAGCGGGTGGCACAGAAGGAAGAGGCGTTTGAAGTTGACATTGGGAGGGGGGGGTCAGGAAAGAGGAACCGGTGAAGCCTGGGTGAAAGTGCAGACAGTTGTCCCCAGGGCTGGGTGGTCACAAAGAAGTCTTTGGAAAGTGAAGCATCCAACGTGCATCTTTAAGCTGTTCTCTGTGCGCACACAGTGCGGTGCTCCTCCTCAGCAGGAGTGTGAACTGCTCGGGGGAAATGGGTGTTGTTCGTTAGCACTTTTGTAGAAGACGATCCTTTCAGGGAACAAGAAAACAGTGTGTCTGGGTGGGTGTCCTGAGGGGCGGGGACTGTAAGTAACATCGCTGGAGACAGAGGGGAGCACCAGGAACTGAAAGAATTTCTTTCCCCCAAACGTGAGGAAAAGGAAGGGGAGGAAGGATGAGGGTTAGGAGAGCAGGGAGCAGGCGATGCACTGAAAGAAGATACGCTGGGTGCCTCGGCCGTGACCCCTGAATCTATGGTCTTGCTTTAAAAATTTGCCACAGCCCTGGCCAGGTAGCTCAGCTGCTTAAGAGCATCATCTCAATACGCCAAGGTGGCAGGTTCGATCCCCGGTCAGGGCCCATACAAGAATCAACCAATGATGCCTCCGTAAGTGGAACAACAGATTGATGTTTCTCTCCTTCTCCTTTCCTCACTGTAAAAAAACAATCAATAAAAAACTTTTTTCATTCATAAAAAATTTGCCAAATGCTTGGTGATGGTGGATGTCTTGCTATGAGCAGGAACTAGTACAGAAAGTGGGTTTTGCCTCTCGGTTGATGGAGAGCAAAAGAGAGACAGAGCCAGAGGCAGAGTCAGCCCCCAAGGACGGGCACGAGTGGGCACTGGGGGCTTTGCGGGCTGCAAACTGGGGAACCGCAGGGGTCGGAGACAATCACACTTGAACCTGACCCTGAGAACGGCGAGGCTTGGCAACTGGGTTTGGACAGTGAGCGTCCTCCCGTGCAAGGGACGGCAGCGCACAAAACAAAACCCGGCGAGTTCTCATAGGCGCACAGGGAGGCCAAGGTCCTCCGGGCCGTGGAAGGAAGCATCCAGAGGCGTCGTGACCCGGGCGACCACTCCTGGAGCACCGAAGGGCCCAGGGGACACTCCAGGGGACCCTTCAGACCGCTGCTCTCCCAAACCTGCACACGCTTGCTCTGTTGAACAGCTGTACAATGTCAGAGAACGTTTCAACGTATTTATCTAACCCCAAAGACGGGCTATTTCCCCCAAGACACACGGCGCTGAAACACCCCGTACGCTCTCTCTCTCTGAGATGCTGAGATTATTCCTGGACGGCAACCGCTGTGGGAAAAAAACAGTCCAGGCCTGGAGGGACTAGGAAACGGCCCTCTCGAAAAGCCCGCACCTCCGGGCGTCTTTAAAACAGTCGGTGTTTAAAAACAGATTTCCTTCATTCCCGAAAGGCCGGTGAAATACATTCCTCACTGTCAGCTCCTTGGCCTGTTCAAACCGCTCTAGGATGCTGGATTTTCATCGCCACGTGCCGCACGGGTCCTTCCTGCGAACGGCTGCTGGCTCCAGCCACAACAGTCTGCTCCAGCCACAACGGGAGTCCTCGGACAGTCTGTATTTCTTCCCACAGGACAACTACAAGCGTAAGTCCCTATCAGGTCCCTCCAGGCTGTATGAGGACATGACGCTGCCCATCGATAAAATCAGAGGCAAACCATGCACAGCAGGCGAACCGCCAAAAAGGGAGCCGCTATAAATAGATGAGACGAAGAAACCAAGTTCACAGCCTCGGTGTCGCAGAAAACATCTCCATGCTCCCAGCACGAAGGACGCACCCCCCCTTCTCCACCGCAGGCTCCATCTGCCCCCACGCAGGACATTCGTGAGGGATGCTGCTCTTCAGAGTGAACCGCATACATACTCCTGTGCTCTTTTGAGTACTGAACACTACCCATCCTGGGGGGGCAGCCGTACCCAGAACTCCCCCCAGAATGTAAGGCTGTGGCCGTTCCCATTCAGCAAACCCTCTTCACGAAGAGCTGTTGATGTCCCCTCTGACCGCCAGCAAACTGATGTGACCAGACGGGCCCCAGCCGCTTGATCTGAGGACTCAGAAACAATGAGTCAGAGCGTCTATCCCGAACTCGATAACCAAGTGTCTTTCCTCACAGGTTTTCAGAATAGGTTTCCTCTTGTGGACAAGTCCTCTTCCTGGTGTGGCCACCCCTGGCTTCTCCGGACCCCTGGACTCCCGCTCTGCTTGGAACCGGGCAGCCCTGCGTAGCTCCACCGATGGTGTTCCCTGAGTCCGACACGGCTCACTGCTGGACCGCCCTCTGGGGTCTCGTTCACAGGCCGGAAACATTCCAAACCCCAAACCCCCAGACTTCCTGGGAGAACAAGAGTCAAAGTCAAAGCCGGTGCAGATCACGCAGAAAGACGTGTGCGGAGCGAACGGCGGGGCCCAGGGCAGAGAACTCCTGGACAGCGGTCCAAATGAGGGCAGCCTGGACCTCCCGCAGGCCCTTCGGGATACACAGTGATTCTAGCCATCCATCTAGATAACATCGGGACGCGGACGAGCAAACAGGCCGTGTTCCTTAAAAGCTACAGGAGAAGCCGTGTACCACGGCCTTCCGGCTGCTGTTGCTCAGAGCACCTTGCCGGGCGGAGAAGTAGAACCTCTACACTCTGTTCCCTCCACTCGGGGTACCTTGTGGTCTCTTTCACCACTTGGAAGATTTCTACTCATCCTTAAAGGTCCATGTTTTTTTTTCCTTTCCTTTTTTTTTTTTTGCTTAAGCCTCACCCAAGGGTACGCTTATTGATTTTAGAGAAAGAGGAAGAGGGAGAGAGGGAGAAGGAAGTGGGGAGAGGAGGGAGGGAGAGAAAGAGAGAGAGAGATCAATTGGTTGCCTCCCATACACACCCTGACCAGGGATCGAACCCACAACCTCTCTGTGTACGGGACAGCGCTCCAACCACCGCGCTGCCCAGGCAGGGCAAAGTCCATCTTACGGCCTCGTCTCCATGACTCTCTTAGACACTGAAGTGAATTCTCCTCTGCAGACCCCAGGACACCAACCTGTCAGTTGTTGACACGCTCAAGGCCATGTTCAGACAGATCCCAGGGCCACGGCCCAGCCTGCCCTTCAGCTCTAGCATCTGGTCTCGGTCGCTGCTCACGGCCCACCGTTTCCCCTGGGAAGAGCCTCTCCTTCTTTTAGAAACCACGTTGGGGATGGTCCCCAGGAGGCTCTGCAGCCCCACTGGCCAGAGGAAGCAGCGGTTCCTGGCTGCATGTCGGAACCATCCCGTGAGCTGTGAAAGCCCCCCCCCCCCCGCCCCCGTTCTCAGGCCACACCGCGGACAAATTACAGTCGCCTCTCTGGGGGGTGGTGGGGGCGGGGCGGGGGGGATCTCGGGCCTGAACAGACACTGTCCACGACAACAAAATGACTCCACTGTGTGATGTATCAGTCATGAAAAAGAACACTGGGGGGGAGGTGTTGAGGGAGCAAGTACCTAACTAGGAGGAGTAAACAAATGAAAAGAAAAAACAGTGAGGCCCCCATCAGCCTGGACAGTGAACGAGCAGCGTCAGGCACACCTAACAGCGGCCGGCACCCTGTGAGCTGCGTCCGAGGCCACTCGCCCGGGAGGGTGAGGTAGGGCCCCGGTTGTGCCCCCCGCCCCCTGGTCCTGCCTCAGCCCCGGGACACCCCTCCCTGCCGGGTTCCCATTTTTCTCCCTCAAGCCTGAGCCTCCTTCTCCATCCCGTTCCTTTGAGGCCCGGGCAGATCTGGGATCAAGTCTTGGCGCACACACTCAAGTATTCAATGTGGGGCCAACGTAGGCTTCCCATGTGGCTTGTCTGGGAAATGATAAATAATTTTTTAAATAATATATTTTATTGATTGTGCCATTACAGTTGTTCTATTTCCCTTCATTCCCCTCCACCCTGCACACCCCTCCCCCACCATTCCCCCCCCTTTAGTTTATGACCACGTGTCTCAAGTTCTTTAGATTCTATATTTCCCCTACTATTCTTGCCCTCCCCCTATTTTCTACCTACCGTCTATGCTTTTTATTTTCTGTACCTTCTCCCCCCTTCTCCTCCTCCCACTCCCCTGTTGCTAACCCTCACGTGATCTTCATTTCTATGGTTCTGCTCCTGATCTAGCTGTGCTCTTAGTTTGCTTTTGTTTTAGGTGTGGTTGTTAATAACTGTGAGTTTGCTGTCCTTTCACTGTTCATCTTTTTTTATCTTCTTTTTCTTAGATAAGTCCCTTTAACATTTCATATAATAAGGGCTTGGTGATGATGAACTCCTTGAATTTGATCTTATCTGAGAAGCACTTTATCTGTCCTTCCATTCTAAATGAAAGCTTTGCTGGATAGAGCAATGTTGGATGTAGGTCTTTGGATTTCATGACTTGGAATACTTCTTTCCAGCCCCTTCTTGCCTGTAGGGTCTCTTTTGAGAAATCAGCTGACAGTCTGATGGGAAGTCCTTTGTAGGTGACTGTCCCCTTAGCTCTTGCTGCTTCTAGGATTCTCTCCTTCATTTTAATCTTGGCTAATGTAATGATGATGTGCATTGGTGTGTTCCTTCTTGGGTCCAACTTCTTTGGGACTCTCTGAGCTTCCTGGATTTCCCGGAAGTCTGTTTGCTTTGCCAGATTAGGGAAATTCTCCTTTATTATTTGTTCAAATAAGGTTCCCACTTGTGGCTGTTCCTCTTCCCCTTCTGGTACCCCTAT